AAGCTAAACTATTGTTTGGTTTTAAGAAGACTTCAGGGGATATTTTTGGTTTAAGGTTTAAAGATTATCTCAGGCAACAGTTTCAGGGGTTCATCCAGCTTTCTAGGGCTCCAGAAAGTCTGTATTCCATGAGAATTTGAAATTCTGTTCTGCATTTTCTCCTTTTTGATCAGGATTCTTCTATAGAATCTTTGATAAAAATGTTCAGTAATGGTAGCCGGGCACCATCCAGTTCTTCTGGTCTCATGGCAAAGGAGGCGGTTGTTCATGGAGGCAATTAGCCACATATTCCATTTCCTCCTCCTCTTCCTAACTTTCCTTGGATGGCCACTTGTAAGCTTTTAAGACCCCCAGGCATTACCCACCGAACTAGGAGATAGAACAGAAGCCCTAAACATATTATCAGGCCAGTTAACTGGGATGTCCCATGAAACCATGACCCTAAAGCTCCAAACCAAGAAACCAAATACACGAGGTGCTTTGTTGTACATAAATAGCTTCAGTAGCACAGCTATATTCTTAATCCCAGCTGGTTTTATTATAAATATGGGCCATCTCAAGAAGGATTAGCAGAAAGAATTCAAACTCACCACACTTCTTAGGGAGAAACAGAAATCAGCAAAATACTTGTCTATAGGATTGTCTGTATATAACAATGATTATTTTTGTCTTGATAGATATATCATAACCCATTCCAGAATTATATCAGTCAGAGTTTGGTCAGGAAAAGAGAAGCCAGTCAATGGTCTGGGTATAAAAGGCTACTTTAGGAATTAGGTGGAAGAGCTGGGAGAAATAAGGACAAGGAAAATCAAGAAAGCCACAACTGATCTCAGCATAAAGCACTGAAATGGGTGGTTCTTAAGTGTTCACTGGAAGCTGCTGAACTTCTCAAGAATTGCTAAGGAAGTCCCACCACCGATCTCAAGAGCTCATGGGGATGCTGATGACTCACCTATCCCCATGCATCTGGATGCAGCTGCCTCCAGAGGATGATAGCTCCTTCTCTTCATCTTCCAAATCTTGTGAGTTCCTTCCTGGATCCATGCAGGGAAGGAGATTCTGGGAAATGTCGTTCCAGGCTTCTCTTCACAATGCAGAAACCTCAGACAATATTATGCAACTGTGGTAGATATTAAGCTTGTTCCTAATTATATGTTCCCTCCCCTGTAAGATGATAACATGCTTGCCTCCCTGTAGGTGTGTAAACATCCCTGTCCAATGGCAGACTTATCCATGAGACTTGCTTTGGCCAACTAAATGTGGGCTGTTGTGAATTACACCACATCTGAGCAGAAGCTGTAAATTCATGTGTATGACTTGGTCTCTTGCTCCTCGTTCTTCACTATGAGAACAAATAGGAGCTACTCCATCAACCAGCGAGCATAGAGCTCAGTTAAGACATGTAGAACAGAGCAGAGTCACAGCCAGTACACAGGTCCATGAGTGAGAAAATGTTTGTTGTTATAAGCCACCGAAATTTTAGGGTTGTTTGTTACCAGAGAAAATGTGTTTAATACTGAAGTTGGTACCAACAGTGGGGTGTTACCATAACAAAACCCTTGTCTTAGTTATCTAGTGTTGCTATAACAAATACCACAAGTGAATGGCTTTAACAAACAGCAATATATTCTCTCACAGTTTAGGAGGCTAGAAGTCCGAATTCAGGGTGCCAGCTCCAGGAGAAGGCTTTCTCTCTCTGTTGGCTCTAGGGGAAGGTCCTTGTCATCAATCTTCCCTAGATGAGGAGCTTCTCAGCACAGGGACACCGGGTCCAAAGGATGCACTATTCTCCTGGCTCTTGTTTCTTGGTGGTACAAGGTCCCCACATGTCTCTGCTTGCTTCTTCTATATCTCAAAAGAGATTGATTTAAGACACAACCTAATCTTATAGATTGAGTCCTACCTCATTAACATAACTGCCTCCAATCCTGCCTCATGAACATCATAGAGGTAGGATTTACAACAGATAGGAAAATCATATCAGATGACAAAATGGTGAACAATCACACAATACTGGGAATCATGGCCTAGCCAAGTTGACACACATTTTTGGGGGGCACAATTCAATCCATAACAACCCTATAATATGTGGTATTGTTTTCAGGGCCAGTGCCTACTGAGAAAACTCACAGGAGGCTGGAAAATTGGCAACCTATGCTATGCAGTTGCAAAATATTTGGTAAAATTGTTGCGTGTGGTAACTTGGAAGGCAGAAAAATGCAGTCAATAAAAGTATGATTTTGGGGGAAGAGGGCTTAACACAGATGTTGGCAGCATGAATTGGTTACTATTAGTAGTAGCTGCGTTTGATGAGATACTACAAGAAAAAGGTGACTCAGAAAAGAACCGGCCTGTTTTCATGCAAGGATAGTAGGGAAAAGAGAAACCAGAAATTTCAAGACTTACAAGGTTAAAAGATATAACTGTTTATATCTAATTTGTGAGAGATAACATTTTTAAATGCTTTAAACAGAAAGGCCCTGTATTAAAGCCCAAATCAACGGTGAGGTATTCAGGACTTTTATTAAGATCTCTGATTGGATTACACACCCTTTGTGATGGTTAAGATTGTGTGTCAACTTGGCTGGGCCATGATTCTCAATGTTTCGGCAGTCATATAATTGTGATCACTTCCCTGTTGAGATTTGATATGTGGTCACCTCCATGATGGGATCTGTTGTGAGTCAGTACCGGTTGGGGCAGGGCCTATGACAATGCCCTGCGCCCCTCAGCCTTCATGTCTCGGCCCTCTGCCGCCTAGCTCTTCCTTCTCTGCTTGCTGGGGCTTTTGCTTGTTCTGGATCCTGCAGCTGGCTTCTGTTAGTCTGATCTCCGGTTCTTGGGACTTAAACTAGCAGTTTACCTGCAGTCTTGCCTGCCTATCTTGGGATCCATTGATCTTCACAGCCTGTGAGCAACAGCCCTGCTCTCCGGCCAGCTGATCTTGGGTTCGCAGGCCCCTGCAGCTACGTGAATCAGGAGAAGCCTCTTTCCTGACCCACGGACTTGGGACACTGCAGCCTCTACAACTGCGTGAGCCATTTCCTTGATATAAATCTCTCTCTCTATATATATATTTATATGCTTTACTGGTTTTGCTTCTCTAGAGAACCCAGCCTAAGACACCCCTTAATAAATTTTTTTTCAGTTGGACAAAGTGGCTCAAGGAAGAGAGTAAGAATGGTCTCACAGAGCCTGATAAACTCAAAGTTCCTGTAACTAAGTGGAGAGGTGTGCATCAGAAAGAGTTGTGGTTGTGGTTATTGGCAAATGGAGTTGACTGGGAATAGATTTTAAACAGCTTTTGAGTTTTATTGCTAAATTGCCAGTCTAGTTAAAAGATAATGATTCTTCAAAATATAAAATAACTCTTGGGCCCCCAACATTCCTTAAGCAGGAGGCAAACCAAGAAACTTGCTCAACCACCAAGAACATTCTTCAGTGCCCTTTTCAGATGTGACCAAGGAAGATATGAGAAGTGGAAGGCACCCCCCCCATCTCCCCAACCCCCAGAGTAGAACAATGAAGGGGCAGGGAGCTTCTTCTAGAGAACAGACCCAAGGAACATTCCTAGCCCCAGAGTAACAGGACATCGTAACATTTGCCCAGTGGGATTACAGAATTGCTATGGACCTGTGATTGCTATGTGCCATCCATTTTTTCCCTTTTGGAGGAGGAATGTTTATTTAGGCTGTCATCTTCCTGTTCTGTCATTGTGTGGTGGTGGTAGAGGTTGTGGTCAGATAACTTCTTGTCATTTTTAGGTTTACAAGTCTCAGGATCAAAAGACACTGCATCAGACCTAATGTTGACCATGAAATCCTGGACTTTAGGTCTCGTGAGTGGATAAGACTTTTCAAGTGACTTCCCTGAGGAGATATATTTTGCACATAGGATAGGAACAGATATTCATGACCAGGAGGGCAGGGCTGTTCCCAATTCACTTTCTCTACTGTAAGAGTATTAAATATCCTCACACTTGCCACCCTGTAGATACAGTACACTTCTCTGGCCCAGTGTTATGTTTGTCCACGTGAGTTGCTTTTGGCCAATGGAACATGAGCAATTTTGACTTAGCCACATCCAAGCAGATGCTTTAAATGTGCTCGCATGGTTTTGGTGTGGCCTCTTGCTCCTGCCCTTCACTATGAGAACAGCATGCCTCAGACGGGCTATTCCATCAGCCTAGTGCCAGAATGAGAAGATTTATGGAGGAGAGCCAAGCTAGTAAGCCAAGCTGAGTCGAGCAGAACTGCAGATGACCCTAGACCCATGGGCAAGAAATAAACGTTTGTCATAAGTCACTGAGATTTTGGAGTTGTTTGTATTAGTCTACTCCCAGGGAATAATCTGGACTAATGCAAGATTTTGTATATTTACCCTCTTTAATTATATCCTTCTTTCTTGTATCTAACATGTCTTTAAGAAGTTGAAGAAGTTAAAGACCAAATTACTAACTCCAGTTCATTTTCCTTTTTATTAAAGCGCTTCAGTAGATGAACAATGTTACCAACAATCAACAGAAACTTTACTGAAATATTCACAATTCAAAATTCTCAACTTTATAATAAATCACTCAAATAATGTTCTTCTATGTAGTAACAGTAATTACCATCGGAGGGTGATTACCTGAATTTACCCTAACCACACACATGGGTTCTCTAATTGGAAAATTCAACCCGGTTACCTTAGCATCTGGGGCTGGCTGTCAATACCTGAATGCTAGTCCCTTGGTGTCCCAGTTTCTCCATCTGCACTGAGAATTAATCTTCCCTTAGAGAAGAGTTATAAATAATCAAGTATGAAACGTTAAAGCTTAGCATACTTCTGTGACTCAGAAAGCATTCATGTGCATATCTTTAAAAGGGCAACTTATTTGTTCTTGACACACATTAAATACTATATGGCTTTAAAAGAAATAGATTGCTCTCTCCTTGAAAATTGCCTTTTCTTGCAAATCACATTAAAATCATACTAGTCTGACCCTAGCCTAATAAAATTCGTGGATGATATGCTCAGTAAATTATTTTGATTGCAGTGAGGGCTGTTGTCCTATGGAGGTAAAATTTACAAATTATTTAAGAAGTTGTTTACATAATTACATTCTTCATAACCTTTCCATTAAAACAGAAATTCTGCTACCCTAAAGCACAAAGAAATAAATCCAAGGTTTCCTTATTAGAGTTCTGGTATACTTCCTCAGACATCGTTACTCTGTCATGACTTCAAATGACACTGGTTGGCAAAGGACAGCAGAGTAAATAAGCCAATTTTGACTAGACTTCCTGGCACAGTTAAAGTGGCTTGGTGCCATCAGAGAAGTTTCAGTAGTGTCTGTGTTGGGGAGTACATTTAAAGTAAAAAGCTTGAAAACATAGATGACATAATTGTATAGGCAGAAGAGAAAGAAAATGATCCTGACTGAATCAGAAACTTTGCTAAAAACCTTGTCTGTTAAGAAGTATGTGGTTCTGCTGTAAAAGACATGTAGAGAGGTTGGTACATCAACCCTTCTATTTTTCAAGAAATGTGCAATACTTTAGGTAGAAATAGTATTGCTAAATCTCCACATGACACTTTGAAACTGCTAGCAGTAAAAAGATAAGTAATCAACACTGGAGAAGAAAAATGGTAAGCTGTGATGCTCTTGCTGTTCTATTCAATTAAAAAATAAATCGATCACAAGCACAAATGGACACAACCATTGCAATAAATACAGCCTTCTGTAGTTAACCTGTCATTTGAAAAATGAATTGGATGAAAAGGATAATTTTCTGCAGTATACTCAGCCATTTTAAGACTGAGTAGTTTCAGAAACATGAAACACCCCTAGAAAAGGCCCTGCTGTTTCATACTGGTTGTGGTCTTTAAAATGACAGAGGACTCCATGCCCTATAGAGAGTGCACAGGGAAATAATTTTCACATTGAACACAGATCGCTTAGGGAATAAAGAAAAAGCACTCCACACAACGTGCCCTTCTATCACATGCAGTATTTAGGGAATAGTAAATCATTATCCTTTATACAGAAGGTGCAGGTGCTCTAAAATCTTCTCAGAGCTGATGATTTTAGGAAGAGGTGTGTGTTCAGGATATCTTTGACAAAATTTAAAATACAGAATTCCAGGTTGGTTTTGCCGAATTTCTGGCAAGTCCTAGGAATCCAGGTTGAGCCGGAAGAAAGCTCTCTCCTTATTTTATGACCTTCACCTGTCAGTACCTGTGATGATGCCATGGGTCAAATGCCATAATGAACCTCCTCTCACTCTTGGGACCAGCAAAGGCCTAGTTCTAGGCAAGAGCAAAGCAGGGAGATGTACCGCCAGAGAGCTTACCCAGGACTGATCCACCAGACTGCCAAGGCCAACTGGGCACCCAGCGGACACAAGGCAGGTTGATCAATTTGTTGTGACACAGGGTCCCAGCCTAGCACCACCTCCAAGCCCAAGAGCCCCCAGACTAGCCCTGAACTACACTGGAGGTCCTTGGGCTGGGCCAGATTGCCACTTGACAAGCACTCCTAAAGCTGGAAAATAAGTCTGAATGGGCAGGGTAGGCAGAGCACCATTTATTGGAGCCAACCCCTGCATCTAGATCTTTGTTGACAGGAGCCCAGTCAGTGACTTTGGAGAAGGTCCTCCCAACAGATAGGCTGTGAAAATACTTCTCTCTCGAGCCAGAGCTCATACGAATAGTGGAAATCCTCAGGCAGATCCAGCCGCTGGCCCAGAACACTCTGCAAGCAGTTATCCACAGGTGAAAACTCAGAGTCCTGGGGTCTGTCGTACCGGCGGCTGTTAAAGGCCTCGATGTTGGCCCTCAGCGTGCATTCCTCTGCTTGGAAGTCCCACGGCCTGGCATCAATGTCTGTGTTGGGAAGAGAGGGAGAAAAAGATGTACATAACGCAGGACACCGCCCCCCCTGACCACTGAGCATGGTCCATGGGACTCCAACAATGGCACTGCTCCAAATTCCCTTTTATATAAAGAGCAATGTACAAAGTAAGTATAGCGTACAGCATGTTGCCGCTCAGGTTTAAAAACACACACATGCCCACAAACCTATGCTTGAATACACAGAGACTATCTGGAAGGGTAGTCTAGAAACTGGTTACAGTGGTCCCCTTTGAGGACGGAAATGAAGGCACTGGGGTAGGTAGGCTTCTTTTACTGAATTTCCTTTCTTCTATTTCACATTCTTACTATTCTACGTATCCTTTTCCAAAAGGATGACACAGTTCCTTCTATTGAGCTTTCCCTAGGGGATGGGAGTTTTCCATTTGAATGGAATTACCAGATCCTAAGTAATGGAAGGCAAAGGAAGGGATACAACAAGGAGGATGAGAACGGACCAATTACTGAAGACTTCCTGATTCCCTGGATTCATCCCCAGCACATGACAAATCTATGTGATAGTCTATGTTAAGGGTATGAAGTGGAGGCTTCCATGGAGGTAGCAACAGAAAGCAGAGAATTTGTTTTGCTTTTACGCATTCCACTTGGACACTTACTTCAGGGCTAAGATACATAGGTATTTCCCAGACCTTTACGCCCCACACGCAATGATTTATCGTAAGGAAGTATAGTTCGGGTTTGGGCTCATCATGACGGCAATAATAGATGTGCCATTTGCAAGGTAAAACGTTTTCATGTTTTCAACATTTAAAGTAGCTAGTTGTGCTTGATAGCCCATAGCAGAAGTTGCATTCTGACTTGTTATATGCCAATCAAATGCTGTTCTTAAATTCCTGGAACTCGACTGCAGCATCCTCTAAAATCCAAGCAGGTTACAAATCCCAGCAAAGACATGTCGTTAGTCATCCTACCAAAAGTCTTAAATACAATTATACAAATAACAGTCAAATTCCACTCCAGCAATGTAAGTACAATAAAAATGCCCTCCAAAATAAAGTTTTCCAAACTCAAACTTGATGGTTCATTTGTTCCAACCACCTGAGGAGTATTGCTACATGACACAAATGTGTTATTGAAAAAGATTGTGTTCTACATTAATCATATTTAAAATGTATTAGGGCTAATGGTCCATCTTAGCATTAAGTCCTGGTATATGAACCACATGTCGCGTCTGCTGATGTGAGGCAATACACAGTACCCAACATCACCTAGAACGTACTAGAGCCAAAAAGGTCTAAATGCATCACACCTTTAGATCTAACTTTCAGTTTACAGGCAATACCAGAGATAGAGGAATAAGGTAAATGACACCAAAGAAACAAGCAGACAGATCCTGAGTTAGGCTATTCTGCAGGGTAGCTGGCCTAGTTCTTTAATAAGTAAGTCAGTGTCATGGAAAAAAAAAACAGACCATGCTTGATTCCAAACGAATTAAAGAGAATAACAAACCAGTGAAATTTGTGGTCTTGGATTAGATTCTGATTTGGAAAAAATAAACATTTTGGGACAACTGGGGAATTCTGAACATGGATTTGATTATTAGATGAAATGAAAATATACTGACATGAAATGGTGTAGATCGTTAACTGATAAGAAAAGATTATAAGATGGCATACAATTTGCTTTCCTTTTAGTAAAATATGCATACATGTGTGTATAGAAAAAAATCTGTAAAAATACACAATAAGATGTTAACAATGGCAATCTCTGGGTGGTACAAATATGGCATAAATATGGTAATATAGTAAAATTTTTGTCTATGTGTATTTACTAACCTTTCTTTCTAGCTGCTTTTGAAATTAAAAAGGTATTTTAATTTAAAAATCTTTAGGAGAATCTTGTCATTTAAAGAAATGTTTTAGAAAGGGAGTGATTATTTATTACTTGTTTTCTAAAATAAATTTTCATAGTTGATATAAAACAAGGTACATGCTAGAATTTGGGACAGTGGCTTAAACTTCCTTATATCAGCACCTAACTTATAATCGCTTGTTTTTTCATCCAGAATATGGAACAATTCGTGTCAAGGGGGTAGAGAAAAACATTCATGTAGTTTTGTTTAATCCCCAGGCAGCCCCTGAGGGGAGGCAGGTGCTCTGCGTACTCACCGTTCCCATAGGCCCAGTCATCGTTCATGCGGTGCCGCACCTTTTGGTAAATGGCTGACATGGTTTTCATGTTGCTTTTCCTCCACTGGCGCCCCAGGTACTTGGTCTGTATCTTCAGCAGCTTCAGGACATAAAGTTGTAGCATGGCCTGTTTGACCTTGAGGGCTCTCTTTAAGATTGGAGCAGATTTAAACACCACCAGCATCTGCCCATTGAAAGAGGGGTGGGAGTAGGAAAAGGTAAAAAGGATCTAAAGTTCTTGGAATTTCCAACTCATAGACAAATTAAGCCAGTGGTTCCCAAACCTGGTGGCTTCGGAATCCCCTGGAGAGTTTTTGGGAAGCTATGTTCCAGGCTCTACTTAGATTCAGTCTTGAGAAACAGAGAAGATTTTTGTTTTTCACAATTCAAAATTTCCAATATTCAAAGTGCATGGTATATAAAGTGCAAAAGAAATATTGCCAGCCACACATCACCTTTTCACTGTGACCATTTTCTTATGTATTATGCATATTCTATGCATAGACTATCTATGCATATACTACTTTTTTAAAACACAAATGATAACCAACTATGTAACTTGAAAATTATTCTACAGCAGTACAGAACTGCTTCATTCTTTTAAATGCTGACATAATATTCTAAGGACGTACCATAATTTATTTAACCTGTTGGTTCTGTATGAATGGCCATTTAAGTTGTTTCCAATCTTTCATTATTCCAAACAATGCTGCAGTGACTACTCTTGGACTTGTATCATTTGGGATGTATGACTGTAATTCAAATAACAATGCTAACTTCCCTACCAAGAGCTGCCCTGAGGGAGGGTCCACACTCAGCTCTCTGAAAGGAAATGGACAGGTGAGTGATCATCTCATATAGGATAAAAACTAAAAAAACCAAACCTGTTGCCATCACCTCATAGTGACCCTGTAGGACAGAAACCCCATAGGGTTTCCAAAGAGTGGCTGGTGGATTCAAACTGCCAGCCTTTCGGTTAGCAGCCAAGCTCTTAACCACTGCGCCACCAGGGCTCCTCATATGGAATAAGTGCCCAGAATTAGGAGGTGCTAAATTTGGTGAAGCCATCAGTGTCTCTCTAGAGAGCTCACAAAGCAGGCAGCCCATAAATAAATCCAGTCAGAGGGACACCACCATTACCTGAAGCCCCACTCACCATGGTCCTGGAATGCTTCCACTTGGTCAGTTTATTGAGCAGCCTCAGAAGGTTGATGCAGGAAAAGAGGTTCCTCCAGCAGAACTGGTTGTTGTCCCCAGCTTCCTGTAACAAGGCACACATCATGACCTCAACACCCACAAGGCTTTCATTCCCACAGAAGTCAGTGTTGGGGCAGCTGAGGGGAAGTCTCCTGCTGTGAACGCTGCCTCCTCACATCCTGCTCTTCACAGGGTCATGAAGCACAATATCCTTCATCTAAAAACACTCAGCTGCCAATCCTGGAAGACTCTGTACTAGAGCACCACCGGTTAGAATGGTGATACCTCAACACAGGAACTTGGTTCAAGCAAGCTTTCTGCTTTAGGATTAGAAGAGAGAGGACAGAACTCTACTCCCATAGACTCTGCACTTATACAAGCTACGTTTGTAATTGCTCTAAGTTAGGTCTCATGCCGGTTTATTTCAAACCATGTTGGAGATCTGATATTCATTGTGGTTGAGTTCTTTATCAACCCCTGTCCTCCTTTATCAAACCATATTGCAGTAAATTGCTTAGTTCTCCAGCAAGGGAGGAAAAATGGCAGATGGTTCATTCTAACCAGGTGTTTCTCTTGTATGTTTCTCGATAGCTTGTGAGCGCTCCACCAGAGATCACAGATGGATGTCAGATTAGAAACAGGGTTCTACTCATAGAAACAGTTTTCAGGGACAAAAATAAGAGTGCTTATGTGATTTTGGGGACTGCAAATATATACTGATGTCAGAAGCTATATAAATCAAGGAGCACACAAGATGGCCAAACTACCATCTTGGAAATTCATCACGTCTACAATGTGATAGGAGAATGTAGGAGTAGGAGATGTGCAGAAGTGAGGCCTGTTGGCTGGTGAATGGAAATTTCCCCTCTTCTCCCCTTATTAAGTTGAAGCAAGCAAGACAAGCATATTTCTAATAGGGGATGAACATCTAAGAAATCTGAGGGTATCAGACTCTTCCAAGAAATAAGTAAAACCAAGGGTCAAAATGTTTCAGGGAAACTTTTGAGAAATACTGAGAAACAGTATTTTCCTTCCTGTAGTAAATGATCAGTATTGTGTTTAGAACTAATCCCAAAGGAGCCATCTGTCTGCATCTGAGGGAAACTTCCTGCACATCAGCTAGTCTGGCTTGCCCAAAACAGATCAGGTTCTGTAGTGGTTACATCTTGTGTGGTTAACAGAAGAGACAGACTTCTAATGTTTATTTTTTAAAGGAGCCGGGGAGACACAAACAAATGGGACAGGTAAGAGGATTTCCACTGTGAGTTTCCTTCATCCTGGCTTCTGACATTGGCATAAAAAGCCTGTATTCCTCAGAACCTAAGAATGACATGGGAGTGGAGATGTGGCCTTCTAGAAGAAGCACTGGACTAGATACCAGGACACGTGGGTGATGGCACTAGTCTTGGCTGAATGATCTTAGGTAAGTCATTTCTCCTGTTTCCTATAAGGGGGTTGAACTAGATAATATTTAAAAACCCTTTCAGCTCTGACCATTCTGTAGTTCTATGATTTACTTGGACTTCCTCCAGCTGGTTTAAAAGTGAAGTTCTGAGTGAGGATGAGCTGATTGTGACTGCCCTGTGCTCAGAGCTCAGTCCCAGGAGTCCCAAGAAAGGCAGCCCAGTACCCTCCCTGAAGACAGCCTCACCTACCAGAGCTGTGCTTTCCTTCCTTCTGATCAAGCTTCCCCAGAAGACTGTATCTAGCCCGCCTCTCGCACCACCAGATGCTGCCTGGCGCTGGCACGGAAGGCATGCAGGCTGGACAGTGTGCTCAGGAGAACTGAGTCCAGACTTGTCTGGTCTCCTTTGCTTGTGGCAGCAGGCCCTGCATAGAGCACTGCTCCTGCCTTTTGCCTTGTTCTAGCCCAACAGATAATCATTTCCCAGCAGGCCTGCAGCTCCACGGGTGCCTTTTCAGATTTGCCAGACTTGAGGGCTGTTTCTTTTTCTCTATGCCCATTTAGGGCAGGTCACCTCTGTCTCTTCTCCTTTACTTATTAATTTTTTGGCAGGATTCAGGACATTTGAGTGAGATGTGAGCCTCTGTGGGGAGATATGCTGTGTGAACAGCAGCACAGCCAGACTCCCTTGCTCCTGGTACTTCACACTGACCAGAGCAAGACTTCCACTCCCTTTCTACCAGCTAAAGTTATATAAGAAAATGTGTGCCCATGTTCCACTGCAATGCACCCTGGGTCTAAAGACTCAGCTCAGGGGCCACATCCTCCCCCTTTCACCTCCAAGGCACTGAGGGCTGTTCTCAAAGATCCCTCCATAGTGCAGCTGAGTGAAGGCAGATACCAAAACCAGGCTTAGGCCAATTATGTGGAGAATTAATTCACACGAATGAAGAAAGAACAGTGTTTTGGATTGAGGAAATCAGACTGGTTAGAATCTGAGCTCTAGAAGGGAGCTAGCTGTTTTGGTCTAATTCCATCATTCATAGGTATAAAACTGAGGCCCCAGGAAGGGGCTCTCCAAGGTCACATGATAAGTGCCCAACCAGGGGTTTGCACCTAGATCTTGAGGGCTCAGTGAAGTCTAAGACTCCGTCTTTATTTTCTGTTCACCTTCTAGTTGTACTTCTTGAATCCTGGACACAGAAGTTGATTCCTGAAGGAAAATTTGGTTTGATCCCTGGCTTTCTGTGCTTCTTAAAGACCTAATAGTGGCTAAGCTCTTTCTTATATCATACTATAATTTTCACTTTAAACCAGCACAAGACAACAGTTTCTGGGGAAGAACAGTAACAAAAAACAGTGAGGTTTCCTGGTTTAAGGTGGAGCACCTGACTGAGTTCGTCAGCTATCTGGATTAGGTAGGTATAAAAATTAAATAAAGATAGATATAAGGATCAGGTAAACAAATTTAAGTGCTGTGAACATATTTTTATAGATCTTCCTGAATATATATCAAACCAAAATTTGAGGGATTTTGCAATGAGCCACCTTTCAAAAATTACCTTAATAGATCCACTTGCCTAGATTTCAGAGGAAGTGCCAAGCCTGTCTTTGCAAATGGCTCTGACTCTCCCTGGCTATCAGGCTTTTGACATCACTTCACTGCTCCACCTGTTTCCTCATTTGTAAAGGCTGGGATTGGGTAAGTTACTGTCCAAGGAACTTCGAACTCTGATGCTCCACGATTCCATAAACACTTCTTTCTCCTCATTCCTTCACCTTTAGTCCAGAGGACAACCTGGGCACCCACATTGCTAAAGTATGACCTCTTTCGTATGTGATGCTGCTGTTATTAAATCATATTCTAGAGAAAAAGACAAGCATTTTGAGGCTGGACTGGCTTTGTGGCAATGACAATAGATTTACATGGACTTTTCCACTTTTTTTGCCCAAATTTCTGTAAGACAAGAGAGAAAAGGAGGAAGGGGTCCAGTCTGCATGATTTCTCTTTAGGTCTAACAGGCTCACAAAGAAAAAAGACCCATGACCCTGGCCTCAATCCACCATACCCTAAAAGCAGTGGGTTCCAAATTTGTTGATTGCACACATCTATTAGTAAGTAATTTCTGTTTACTTATAAATTATAAATGTATTCTTGTAATAATATTATGTATATTATAATGTACATGTAAATACAGAAAGCAAAAAGGATATTAAAATAATACATATAAAAGAGCTAATATTTTTCCATAACCCCCAAGCATCACCTTGCACACTCTCCTCTTCACACCAAGCAGCCGCTGTTCTGAGCATCTACAATAGAAGTTGAGGCCACGCCCACTGCCTTTTCCAGCAACCTCCTTCTGAAGACCACACCTAACTTCCACACAATCATACATTCACCAACCCTCATTTACGTTTGGGATTTAATTTTCTTTTTTTTCTTTTTTTTTTCCTAGTTTAGTGGATTGGATCTGAATATAGAAGTTTGGGGATCCAGAAATTGTAAGCCTTCCTACACCAGGTGGGTAGGGAAACTGCTCAGTTAGTACGCGGGAAAACATGGCCTATTCTAAAGCTAAACATTTTGACAAAATGGGAAGACTCCAGAAATTAATATGCCAATAACTGCCTTTCTTTCATGTCCACCATGCTGTGTAGCTGGTGTTCCAAATGAAGTTGAACTGAATTCAGTTCAAATGCAAAAAACATGAATCAAGATTATGTCAGCCTAGTAATTCCACTTCTGGGAATCCAGCTTAATGAAATAATCAGAGATGAGGTCAAGATTCCCATGCAAGCGTGTTCATTTTGGAGTTATATAGGGAAAAACTGAAATAAAATGCCCAACAGCAGCAGAATGGAGCCATTTCTTTTTAAAATTAAGGCATGGACTATTATGTGTAGCCATTAAAAATCATCTTGTTTTCAAGATGTTTAATAAAATCATATTTTAAGCATTTAAATTTTACTATGCCAAGTGAAACACATATATATTCCTTATTTTATTAAATAATGTATAAGTATGTATACGTAAAGGAGCCCTGGTGGCAGTGGTTAAGTTCTCGGCTGTGAACTGAAAGGCCATTGGTTCAAACTCACCAGCTGCTCTACAGGAGAAAGATGTGGCAGTCTGCTTCTGTAAAGATTACAGCCTTGAAAATCCTATGGGGCAGTTCTACTCTGTCCTATAAGGTTGCTGTAAGTTGGAAATGACTCATCAGCAATGGGTTTGGTTTTTTTTGGGGGGAGGGTATGTATATACATACATATGTACATATAAAAATTATTTCATACATGAATATACACAGTAATTGAACCAAAATATTAACAACGGTTATATGTAGGTGATATAATTACGGGTATTTTTATTTTCTTCTCCATACTTTTCTGTGCTTCTCCACTTTCCGTTTTATATATGTATATATATATATATATATATAAAATCAGGAAGAAAACCTGAAATCTAAAGAAAACCTTATACACTTAGAAAGCAGTACATTATCTGTGTTTGCAATTTGCTGAGCCTGAAAAAGAAACAAATTTTACTCATATAAACATTATTTTTTTTCTGAATACAAAAGCCATTAAAACCAAACCAAACCCCTTGCTGTGGAGTCGATTCTGAATCATAGCAACCCCGTAGGACAGAGTAGAACAGCCCCATAGGGTTTCCAAGGGGCGGCTGGTGGATTCGAACTGCCAACCTTTTGGCTGGCAGCTGAGCTCTTAACTACTAGGTAAATAAGCCATAATGTTGACGACCATAACATTGGAGTAAACTTGCTAGTTTCTGAAGCCCACAGTTGGGCTCAGGGAAGCACCTACACCGTAAATTCAAACAAAAAAAATTTGTGGTTACCACATGAAACCACCAGGTGCCACTATTGCTTCAGAGAAAGAAGTGGAATCTCTAGCATGAATCTGTTTTTTATTAAGAATAGATATATGCTTTCATGTATGTGTTGGAGCCCTCATGGTGCAGTGGTTAAGAGCTCGGCTGCTAACCAAAAGGTCGGTAGTTCAAATTCACCAGCTGCTCCCTGGAGGCCTTGTGGGGCAGTTCTACTCTGTCCTATGAGTCGGAATCAACTCGATGGCAATGGGTTTGTTTGTTTTTTTTTTTTGGTTCATGTATGTATGAATGTGTTATGCCTTCTCAGAAGGCATAAGAATCATTTCAATACTTTATGCTCATATTGAAAAAGGTCAACTTGATGAGATGTGAAAGTACTGTTCCTGTAATTCCCACATGTGAACTCAGGGGACTGGGAACAGATTGTATCACGGGATAGACTCAGGCCATAAAAGCTGATTTAATTTTATGTTCTGAAATATCCTACTAATAACAGAATTTTAATCTTAGCTATGTTACACGGTTTCTGGAGAAAACTTATTCCTCCTTCCAACTCAGAGTGGCAGGGATGCATGTTCTCTACTTTCAACTGTGAGGTCTTGGCAGTTATTTAACTTTTCCTTCTATAAAACAGTAATAGCAACCTCACTGAGTTTTAAAGATTAAATAAGATCATGTACATGAACAGTATCAGACAACCTGCTACCTCTCTCTGCAGGAGTAAGAAGTTCCCAGCATCCGTGGCTGCTGAGACTGTATCTAAATAAGACAGGGAATCTCTGCCTCGGTGGTAAAAACGTGCTAGACTTGGTGTCTCAGGACATGGCTCTTTTGACTCATGTCTAATTTGAAATCTGCCACCTGGTCTGTGACAGGTCACTTCACCCAGTGGATCTTCAGGTTTCTCATCTTTGAAAGAAGGGGATTGGGCCAAATGACTCTCAAATTCCCGCCAGCAAAAATCCCATGGCGCTATAAAACCCGTACCACATAAGGTATCAGCCTATCTTTGCATAATATACTTTTCTGATTCAACATTGTGCAGGTATTAAAGCTTGGGAGAACAAAGGATTGCAGCACCTATGGGTGTCATTCCCAATCATCTAGCATTCACCGAGCTCCTTCGAGGGGGTGGACATGGTGCCAGACTCTGGGGGATATAAAAATGGAGACGATACTATCTCTTCCTTTGAGTTTATAGTCAAATGGGGAAACAGACACAGATAAATAATTCCAGTGCAACAGGGTGAGGGCATGGACTGGGGGGTGTCTAAGGAGTGGTGGTGGGCCATGATAACACATGCCTGACCTTCAATATCCTGTCAGTCAGCATACTGGGAGTTCAGAATAACTCTGAGGGCGTTTTCTGATTTGCCTGGAGCTGTATTCAGGATGAGGCACTTTCTGGGTCACCTTCCTGTGCCTATATAGGCTTTTGCCTCAGGGAGACCTAGGTAAGACTCTCTCTGAAGTACACACTCCTGGGTTATATAAGCTCCATGAAAATGAGAAGTGAATGGCCCACAGCACAGCAGAAGGGGACAGGTTAGTGTCTGGCCGAGCTAGACCAGGGGAGTCTCCAGCCACTTAGCTTACTCTCAGCGCCACATCTCTCTTAATTCCCTCTCCTCCTCAGTGTTTCTCACTGGTCCTCTCTTCTTTCTGCAAAATGCTATGCTCAGCTTTTCCAAATCTTTCTCAGCTGGGTCAGCAGCTCTAAATCCCTACTGCCTCTGAGCTCTTGCCAATATGCCTTTATTGAGCTGAGGCTCCCAAACCAGAGCATTATGGGGCTGAAGAAGAAATGAAGAGCAAATACCAGCCTTGGCCACCTGGCACTTTCAAACGCTACCAAATCCCCATCTGTTTACCAGACTCTCGGTCGTCAGCTCCGGCAGATCCTGGATGGTACAGCAAGGGTAATCCAGGACCGAGATGCTGCAGGTGCAGAAACAAGGACAGGCTTTAGGTAAATGGCAACGGCAGGAAACGGCTCTGCCTGCAAAGGGCAAGAGCTAGTTCTCCAGCGGCCCCAAACTGCACAGTAGTCTCAGCTGAAACCGAGGGTTATGGTGCTGGGCAGCTCCAGCTCCAGTCTCCTCTCCTCAGTCATGAGAGGACCCCACAGGCTGGCCCCTATCTGGATGATGCAGAAGAGTTACAGCAGAAAGAGCTCTGCATAGCCACCTTCCTCCTTAGCTCTCCTCCCTTCTTTAAAGGATGAGTTACACTTGTGTGCATTTGTGTTTCTGCATGTGTGTGTTTGTGTGTGTGAGGATAACTGTGCTTCCAGAGATGCTGCCAAACCCATCTCACTAGATAACAACCTGAGGATGAAACCAAGACCCCTCCTATGTCTCTCACTGGCTCTTTCCGAAAGCCTGGAGCTCGGTGTATGATCACAGAAGCTACCCTGAAAGGGAGACCTGAGACAGAAGACAGCTGCCTGCAGCGTGGCCAATCAAGCAGAGCTCCAGAGGGTAACAGCCTCTGTCCCAGACAGACGGTGGGGGCTGTGAGGGAGCTGGGGCTCCATGGTGGGCCCAGGGAAACAGGTACCACATAATGAGAGGGGTAATGATAGGTTTCTCTTCCTCTTCCCCCTTCCTCTCTAGTACAATGCAGAATTTGGACTAGAGAATCTCTAATGCTCCTTCTGGTTCCGATGTTTCATGAGGTTTGAAACACCAATCTGTCTGAATGAGTGCATTTGGGACTGGATAAAGGATGCTGGCAAAGCAGGGGTTATGAAGAGGAGTATGGGGCTCCTTGGACCTGCCTCTACATTTTGAAAGTCAAAACTTCTACCCAAGCAAAAGGCAGCAACTTATTTTACTAGAAAGGATAGCCTTTTCTTGACTTTGTTCAAGAAGCCCAGACAAGAGCTGCCTGGGGGAACCAGAGTAAGAGAGGAGCAGGGTCAGCCTGGCAGAGGGCAGTGGATCCACCTGTAATGTGGCTTGTCATCTTGATTCACTCTCCTGGGCTCTCCCAGGTTGCCAGCTCTGTGCTGCGCACAAGAACACTCTTGGCGGACTATCCACTCTTCTACCCACCTCCCACTGACAAGGCCCCATGGCAGTTGGCTCCTGGCCTTGTTCTGACTAATAATACTGAGCTTCTCCGTCATCTCTTTCCACAGATGTAGTCGATTTGATTCCTGTGTATTCCACCTGGCAAGGTCCATGTGTATAGTTGCCATTTATGTTGTTGAAAGAAGGCATTTCCAATGAATAGGTCATTGGTCTTGCAAAATTCTATCATGTGATCTCCAGGGTTGTTTCTATTACCAAAGACACATTTTCCAACTACCGATCCTTCTTTGTTTCCAACTTTCACATTCCAGTCAACAGTAATTATCAATACATCTTGATGGCATGTTTGATCAATTCAGACTGCAGAAGTTGGTAAAAATCTTCAATTTTTTCATCTTTGGCATTAGTGGTTGGTGTGTAAATCGGAGTAACAGTCATATTAACTGGTCTTCCTTGTAGGCGTATGGATATTATCCTATCACTGACAGCATTGTATTTCAGGATAGATCTTGAAATTTTCTTTTTGACAATGAATGTGACGCCGTTCCTTTTCAATTTGTCATTCCCGGCATAGTAGACCGTATGATTGTCTGATTCAAAATGGCAAATACCAGTCCATTTCAGCTCACTAATGCCTAGGATAGTGATCTTTATGCATTCCGTTTTATTTCTGACAACTTTCAATTTTCCTAGATTCATACTTTGCACATTCCACATTCTGATTATTAATGGATGTTTGCAGCTGTTTCTTCTCATTTTGCATCATGCCACATCAGCAAATGAAGGTCCCAAAAGCTTGACTCCATCCGTTATTAAGGTTTACTCTCCTTTGAAAAGGCAGCTCTTCCCTAGTCCCATCCTGAGTGCCTTCCAACCTGAGGGGCTCATCTTCCGGCACTATATCAGACAATGTCCCACTGATATTCATAAGGTTTTCACTAGCCAATTTTTTCAGAAGTAGACCACCAGGTCCTTCTTTCTAGTCTGTCTTAGTCTGGAAGCTCCACTGAAACCTGTCCACCATGGGTGACCCTGCTTGTATTTGAAATACTGGTGGCATAGCTTCCAGCATTACTGCAATAAGCAAGCCACCACAGTATGACAAACTGACAGACGAGTGGTGGATCTTCCTAAGTAAGGTCTGTTATTTACCTGCAGTTACAAATTTTGTATAACACTTTGTAGTTTACTCAGGCGTGTAACTGCTCCAACTTATGATTTACACTAAGATCGGGGCTGGCCACACAAGCAGGTTGGTTCACAAAAAATGATCTCCTGGTTCCTTCTGCCACAGGGCTGAAATTCATCACTGCAGCTTCATTTCTTTGAATAATGATACTTTTCAGTGTTCAAAACTATTAAAACACAAATATCTCTGTGAAGAGGCCAAGCCACACATCCCGTCAGCTAGCACTTCAAGGAAATCAAATTTAACACTAGTAGCTCTAAGACAGGAGGGGCTGGGGACCTCAGGAGAACCAAAAGGCTCAGAGAGGGTATAATTTTCTCAACCACCCAGAATAGCCCCTTAAAACAAACCTGCCCAGAGTCCTTACCTGTTTTTGGCAGTGATGTAGGACAAGATATTTTGATTGAAGAACTTCAGAATCAAGGGGATGCAGTTGGCAAACACCAAATGTTGTGATACATATTCAAACTGAATTAAAAATCAAAGCAGAAAGGGCTGAATCTTATTTGGAGAAGAGGAAGGTATATATGAAAACAGGCAAGTACAAATCTATGGTGTTTCCTAAGAATATCCACTATACACTCGTGTTATCAGTCTTCCTGTCTGAGAAGTGGGGAGAAACATCTCAGCCAACCCATTCTACATGGAGGGGGACAACAGGCAGTGTGGGCACCATATTTTTAAGCAAATAACTTGTATCTGTATGTTTGCCAACCAGGCAACATCCCCCCACGTTATTCTTGTAAGCACGCTATGCCAAATTCCACACTTTACATGTTTGGGTGCATTATTTACACGCATGCATTATTTGCGAAAAATGTGGGTACATTATAAGATCCTGACCAAAATGCCAAAACATAAACAAGCCAAAGACAAAATCCTACTCATGATAAATAGCAAGAATTGCTGTGAGATTCACTCCTAAGCTCAACAGGAAAGGAAGGCTACCCAAGGGAGCTGTCTTCCATACCAAATCCCTGGCTCACAATGTTTTGGCTGTGATTGATTTAGCAGGGACAGGTGCAGTGTACTCCCAACCACTGCTGACATCACTCAGTCACTCAGTCAGGATGGGGACAGCACACAGCAATGAAGTGGACCACTGGAATGTGGGCTCTGGCTTAAGTCTAGCTCACCTCATTCTCCCTAAAACCAAAACCAAACCCGTTGCCATTGAGTCAATTCCAACTCAAAGCAATCCTATAGGACAGAGTAGAATTGCCCCATAGGGTTTCCAAGGTGATAATCTTTATGGAAGCAGACTGCCACATTTTACCTCCATGGTACAGTTGGTGGGTTCGAGCCACCAACCTTTAGATTAGCAGCCAAGCACTTAACTACTGTGCCACCAGTTACCGTCGAGTTGATTCTAACTCAGAGTAGAACTGCCCCATAGGGTTTCCAAGAAACGGCTAATAGATTTGAACTGCCAGCCTTTAGATTTGCAGCCAAGCACTTAACCACTGTGCCATCAGGGCTCTGCATTAGCCCTAGTACCTAGATTATCAGCAAGTATTTACTGAATGAGAGAATGAACAAGAGCCTTTCAGCCAACAGAGATGGCACTGAGAATAAGCTTGAGATGCCTTTGATCGGGTAAATACCAACATGTGGGTGCCACTGTGCTCTCCTGAATCCAGAAGGGGTATGTGTCCAGGAAGACCTAATGGGACAGGCAGCCATGAGAGCTGTGTCACCCTGGATTTTACTCATGATGTACCAAAGAGCCCCAGACATAGTTTGTTTCCAGATCCAGCACCTAGAATGCTGGGGCAGTACAGAAACTGGGTGGAAAAAGCAGAGAACTGTGGTGTTTTAAATTCCCTAGCTCTTCCTGACCAAGAAGTGGCTGTGGCAGCAAGCCAGGCTATTTCTCTGCTCCTAGGTGTATGGCTCAGGTGGGGAGTCAGGTGTGCCATGGCTATTTCTCTCTTCTGCCCAACATTTTCTCCCTGGAAGCCGAATAGCCCCAGATGGAGGAGCCAGTACACACCTACTATCAAGAGACTGAAAACTGTTTTCAGTTTGAGACGGGCCTGTGACCTTGTCAGGATTCACTGACAACACACTGGCCAGGCCATCGAGCCCCCAGCTATCTGGCTATCTGTCCATACACTACCCACCAAGAAAGGCAGCCAGAAACACACATCACCAACACTATCTCCTGCTCACCCTGACTCCTAGCCCTGCTGCTGCTCAGCAAACATTGGCAGAAGAGAGGGGAGCACCCAGAATATCCTAACACCCCAAAGATGTGTTGGAATGTACTCAAGTGAGAAACATCTGGGCTATATAGTGAACCTGCCGCGGGCACAGACCCTGCAGAGGCCTCCTGCACTCTGCAGACCCACTCTTCCACCTGCAAGGTTGATTCTGACGTCTTAGGAGGAAAATGGTGGTGACCAGGCAGAGTCCCTGTGCAGGCAGGAGAAGCCTTCCTCTGTGCACTGGGTTGCACCACAGGCAGAAGCATCCACTCACTGCCCCATTTTCCCCAGTATGTAAGCAATGCCCACAGGACCAAATCCAAACTCCTCTTTCATGGGGGAGCAGACTACCTAACATTTCTTAGCCTCAGTTTCTTATCTATAAAATTGGGATAATATAAGACCTGCCTCATCAGGTTTGAGAATGAAATGAGACCCCACACAAGCGGAACAGAGTGCCTGGCACACTATACAGACTCAATAATCGTGAGCGGTTGTCTGCAGTGTGGTCCTCCCTGTTGCCCCCTCCAGCCTTGCGCATCACCAAGCCAACCCCACCTCCCCTAGCCCTGGGCAAAATGCCAACATGTAATTACAGCTTCCCAAGGTACTATGTTCTCTCTCCTCTGTGCTCTTACACTTTAGCTTCTTTTCTGCTTGAAATGCTCCTGTCCCCCTTCCCTACCAGCTCCCACACCCTGGCTAACATCTTTCTTAAGGACTCAGGTTAGACGGCACCTTTTCTCTACTGTAGGCTGGATCAGGTGTTTCCATGGCACCTAATGCTTATCTGTAGCAGAGCACTTCTCACTCTGTGATTGGCTACGTATATATCCGTATTCTTTACAAGATTTCAAGGCCTTTAAGAGCCAGAACTGTGTCTTATTCAGAGTTCTCTCTCCAATGTCTAGAAAAGCACTTCACACACAGATAGGGCTCAAAATACCTGTCCCCCCTTTTTGGCGGAATGTTTGAATCTTGTCTTCCATCACTTCAAAGCTGGCTGGGCATATTCCCAAGAAGCTAGGGATTCCTACTGCTGCCCTCCTCCCCACAACCCTGGGAAAATGTACAAAGGCCACAGACATCTGCACCTTCCCAGACAGTTACCCCACATCCCATTCCACACCCCACCCTCAGCTCTTTAACAGATAGCTGGATTCCCTGAGTGAGAGCAAAGAAAAGACAGGAAGATGCTCAACTTGACCGCAAGGCCCGCGTCCTGCCTTTGGGAGACAGGGCCTGCTGCATACCTGGGACCCATGGAGAGGCGTGCCTAGATGCTCACCTGGTAGATGTGGTTCAGTTTGAAGTGCTTGAGGAGAAGCAGGAGCAGGGCAGATATACTCTTTACGATGATCTCTTTGTGCCTGTTCACATCGATGCCCAGCTTCATGCTCTGGAGAACAGTGACGCTGTAGTGGGGAAAGAGGAGGGTCAGAACAGAGGGTGGCCTTTGAGGGAGACCTACCAGGACCCAAGCATTTGGGTCAGATGCAACATGTGCAAGAGAGCCAGGAACTTGGAAAATCTTAACTTCTGTGCCAGGGAAACCTCCAGAGTTCCTACGAACGAGCCTATCTGGAGAATCAGTATCAACCAGTTGCCAGCGAATCAATTCTGACTCATGGCAACCCCATGTGTTTCAGAGTAGAAGTGCTCCACAGGGTTTTCACTGGCTATGACCTCTCAGAAGTAGACTGTCAGGGCTTTCTTCCCGAGGCACCTCTGGGTGAATCCAAACTGCCAACCTTTCAGTTAGTAGTCGAGCACTTAACCATTTGCGCCACTCAGGGACCCCCTATCTGGAGAAAGGCTCCTCTCATTTCTGTTTGTCTCTCTCCTTTGGTAAGCTTGTACCTTGGCCCTGTCCACTCCCACACCTGGACAGCCAGTCACTAGCACTGAGGTCACCCTCCAGACCCCCAGCTATAAAGAGCACAGCCGAGAGCCCTGCAGTGGAAAGGGGCTACGGCAGGGAAGGGATCTCTTTGGAGACAATTCCTAATAAGTTTTAACAAGGTGGGGACTAGAGAGACCCTGTAGATAGGACGGCTAGCACTCAGCAGCAGCTGAAGCACTCACGGCATCTCCTCGGGCAGGACATCTGCCAGGATGTTGATCGAGTCTGTCTTCGCCTTGGAGGTGGGGGCTGCAGCCAGCAGAATCTTAAGAAGGGCAATCTGGAAAGTAGAAAATGAGGAGATCTACCCCTGTCCCTCCCACTAAGCAAGTTTACCCTTCCACACTCCAACAGCCCCATGAAAAGTGCTTCCAAGCCCGTCTCCAACCCCTTCTCAATGACCAGGCCTCCCCAGCCTCCAGAAAGACAAAGAGGAGTCCAGTCCTGAGAGGCCTGCCTCATGAGCTACGGAGGGAGCCAGCAGGGAGCTCACAGGCTGTTCTGCTGCATGACTGGTTCTTCCAAGGGGGCAGACAGAAGGAGCAGAGTGAGGGGTAGTGTCTAGAAATAAGGTGGAGGTATAAGCAAGGTCTCCACAGCCCAACTTCTCTACCTTTGTTCTTTCTCTAACCCTGCCCGTCAGCACCCTCTCACCGCATCCAGCCTGAGGCTACCTAGGACATGACACACCTCAGCAGACCTCAGAGGGACTAGGGTATTTATCCAGGGGGAGGGCCACCAATGGACCCTGTGTGGACCCCACCTTATTCCCCACCCCTCCCAAAGAACAACTCAGGAGAAAGGCCCTTCGGAGAAGTCTGAGGAAAGCTCAGGAACTCGAATGTGTCAGAGAATGCCTTGTCTAAGGGGTCAAAGCTTTCAGGAAACAAACGCCAGTGACAGACAGCTCAGCCTGAAATGGGTCTCAGCTGCCTGCTCCTTACCATGTACTGGGGGAGGCTGTACAGCATGCCCTGGTAGAGGATCTCACACGGGGTCTCAGGTACCACCTCTTCCCCCTAAGGCAGAAGACACAGTTTGCCCAGGCTATTTTCCAGTAGACCAGAGGCTACGACACTTTGTTGGTTGTGAGGGGTGGCATGAGAAGGGCCCTGAGCTGGGAGTCAAATCTAGGTTCCTACCCAAGCTGTGTTAATAACTCGCTGTGTGGCCTTGGCTAAGTCACCTTCCCTTTCTGAGTCCTAGTTTCCTCTTCAGTAGGATTAGTGGGCTGGTCTGGAGTATCTCTGAGGTCTCTTCTAGCTCTCATAATCTATGATTCTGGTTTTTTCATTATCTGGAATCAATCTAGAACTTTCCATGCTGGATCAGGAGTCAGAACTCCCACCCAGAAGTCAGCTTACACCACTGCTTTGTTGGATACACATACAGAAGGACCACCATGGATACACAAGAGCTCAACTTCAGCTGGGACAGACACCTCATGGTGTCAATCTGAGGCCACCTGAGAGCTCTGGAATGCTCTGTAAGCCAGGAAGGAGAGGCAGGCAGCTCAATAAACAGTGATAGTAGCGAATTGGGTAACTTATGGCCTGGGGAGGCAGGAAGGAAGGAGTATTAGCAGGGAGTCTTGGTGGAAACTATTTTCCTCCCTTCCCCTCCCCTTAGCCCTAGAACATCTCTTCCTCCTCTCTGACCAGCCCCTCAGGTACAACCCTCTTTGTCCTTTTGATGACCCCAGCTTAGCCTTCTACCAGAGCAGGGAGGCAGGGGCCTCAGGTACTTTAGCCACTGTCATCCTTGGCCAATGCTGTTCCTCCTCCCCCGAGGTCCCTCTATTACAGGCAAGGGTCACTGTCAGGAGACTCTGAGGCAAGGAAGAATAACCAGGCCCCACCATCCAACGCACAACTCAGCTACTGCTAAGTGGACACAAGTCTCAAGTGGGCACCAACAGAGCCTGGCAATCCTGCCATGTGTGCCTTCCTACTCTCCAAAATGCCTACTTCACACCCAGGGGCGGATTATCCAACAGGCAAGGTAAGTATGGTGCTTACTTTGCTTACCAGATCATCTGTAGTGAACAGTGAACAATTTCACATTTTTTTCACCCCATCAAAGATTCCGCTTCTAGGTATGGCTGGCATCTGACTCTCTCCCAACCTGACAGCACCTTCCTATAGGATCAAAGCCTCTTTTCAAATTTATAATTCCTGACAGGGACGGATTACCCGGTGAGCAAGGTAAGCATGGGTTTACTTGTGCTTACTTCCTAATCTGTAGTGAACAATTCCATGCAGTGACACCCATGTGAAATTGTTCACTACAGATTAGGAAGTAAGCACAAGTAAGCCTGTGCTTACCTTGCTCACTGGGTAATCCACCTCTGTGCACACCCTCTTCCCTCTCCTCACGCCTATACTCCCTGCCGCCCCCATCCCTCAGCACTGCTGCTGACCTTGCTTCATACTTCATGGAGAAAACAGAGGCAACCAGACACCAAATCATCCAGAGTCTGTCTTCCTTGATAGGAAAGATGAACTTCCCGTGTTCTGTCAAAGGCCAACCCTCCCCCTGTACTTGCGGCCCCAGACCCTTTCATTTGGTCATGTACCTTGTCCTGTGATGATCTCCTCTCCTGGATCATCTCTTTTAGGACATACGCATACTCTAATATCTGCAAATGTAAGAACCCTCCCTTGACCCCACCCTCCTCCTCCAGCTACCATCCATTTCCAGCTCCTCTTCATCACAAAACGTGTCATCTGTGTTGACTCTACCTTTCTTTACATTCTTTTCTCAACATACTCCAACCAGGCTTCCAGGCCCACCACTTCACTTAAGGTCGCTCTTATCAAGGGCACCATTCATCTTCTTCATGTTGCCAAATCCAATGCCCCATCTATCAGCAGGACTTGACACAGCTGGTCACTCCCTTCTCAAAACACTTTCTTTTCTTCGCTTTCATGACAGCACCATCTCCTGGGCTGCCTCCTGCCTCACTGGGTGCTTTTTCTTACCCTTTTATGCCTCATTCCACCCTCTACGTATTGGTGGTCCCAGGGCTTTGTGCTGGGTCTCACCTCTTCTGTATTTCTCCTCCCTCCTTCAGTGATCCTAGCCAGTTATATGGCTCTTCACACTGTGCGTAAGTCGTTGACTCCCAGATTTATTCCTCTAGACGGCCCTCTCCCTAGAACTCTATAAACTCACGCATCTAATTGCTTGTCATCTCCACACGGATGGCTTATGGGCATCTAAAACTTGTTCTTGTTAGCTGCTGTTGAGTTGATTCTGACTCATGGCAACCCCATGTGTGCAGAATAGAACTGCACTCCATAGGGTTTTCAAGGCTGTGACTTTTCTGAAGCAGATCACTCAGGCCTGTCTTCCAAGGTGCCTCTGGGTAGGTTTGAACCACTGCAGTGCGATGGATCACTTTTGTGTGGCCTTTCTAGCCATAGTCTTGTAACCTGTAATCACTTGTAATCAAGTGACTGGGTGAGACTGTGTGATAGGGTAATTGTGGCCCACTGAAGGGATTGGTCAGTTTTGCCAACCCGCTGGGCTTGAAATGAGCCACCCCAGAAGCACGAGAGAGAGGATCCCACTACCACCAAAGAACAGCCAGGAGCAGAGAGTGCATCTTTTGGATGTGGGATACCTGCGCTGGGAGGTTCCTGGAGTCAGGAGACTGAGAGAGAGAGCAGGCTGTGGCCCTGAAGACAGTGAGAAGCAGTGGCAGGGAGACCAGCAGGAGATGGAGTGCAGGGTTTCCCAGCCCAGGGAGCAAGAAAGCCTGGGTGCCTCTGGGGACCTATTGGCAGGGGTTAAAGGAGCTTTTCGTAACACTTGCCTGAGCAGGCCAGAGGCCTAGGGCCAAAGAGAGGTGTGCCTGTGAGCACAGCTGAAAAGAGGCTGTCCTGATGGAAGAATTGTATCCTGAGTGTTCTTGAGCCTGAACTGTAACCTGTTACTTCTCTAATAAGTGCCGTGGGAGGGATGGTTGGCATCAGAAGTGGTAAAGATGGTGGAGAGAGGAGGCATGTCTGATCTCCGTCACATAGGAATCAGCCTTGGGCTGTTGATCTTGATTTCTCCTTCCTGGAGAGGAGGTCAGACTCCGCCCCCATGCCATTTTTACAACTGCCAAACTTTCAGTTAGCAAGTGCTTACCCATCTGAGCTACCCAGGCTCCATCTAAAGCTTAGCATGACCAGAACAGAAATCTTGATATTCTTCCCCATCTTGGTAAATGTTACTTACTCGCGATTCCTCTCTCTGACCCTCTATCAACATCCAGTCAAACTGCAAGTCTTGTCAGCTATACCTCCAAAATATATCCCAAATTCATCCACTTTTCTCTTTCTCCACAATGACTATCCTGTTCCACGTCACTGTCATCGCTCACCTGAACTATTTTCATAGCTGCTTATTCCTAACTGATCTCCAGGTGTCCACTCTTTCTTGGTCCAACTTCACACTGCAGCCAGCAGTTTTTAAAAACATAAACCAGGTAATGTCACTTAAAATCACTTAAAATCCTCCAAAGGCTTCCCTTTGCCCTGTGAATCAACTGCAAGCTCCTGGATTTTGTTTATGCAGTCCTACGTAAATTGGCCCCAGGCCACCTCTGACCCCGTCCTGTGCCCTGTGTTCCGGCCACACTGGCCTTCTTTCCTGACCTGTAACACTGAACTTGCTCTCACCTGGTTAAGGCTGGTCCCCCCTCTGCTTGGACTGCTCTTTCCTCCAACGTTCCTGTGGCTGGCTTCTTCTTGTACCTCAGATTTTGGTTTAAATGTCACATTTTCAGAGGTCTACTCTGACTGCTCAATCTAGTCTGCTGATGCCTCTATCATGCCATCCTGTTTGGATTTTCCCCATTGTATGTATCATCTAATCTTCTGATAGTCTTGTTTACTGAATTATTTGTTTATTATCTGGCTTCCTTAACTTTAATGTATGTGAAGGTAGGGACCTCGTCTTGTCTGGTACATGGTAAGAGCCCATAACTGAACGAATGCATGCATACATGCTCTGTGGCAGCCACTGCAGACAGCTTTTCTTTTGCCTCCTCCTGTGCAGGACCCTCTCAGCTTACCAAAGACATAGGGCACTTTTCCAGCTCCTCCTCATTCTTGATCTGGACATCTGCGATGGAGATATACTTGTGCTGGGGAAGACAAGAAGACATCAACACAAAGCTGAGGGCACCAAGGGATCTGCCTCAATCACATGTGTACAAGCCTTTTCCTAACTTCCCCAATGACACGGAAATGTCCTGGTCATAGGTCTGTCACCCCAAACAGACCACAAGCTCTTTGAAAGCAGGTGTCTTATTCATCCCTGCATCATTAGCTTCAAGAAAAGTGCTTCATACACAGTAAATGTTTATTCCATGTTTCCATATTTGTTGAAGAGCAGCAAATACCTAAGCATTTGTGCAAGGGGAAGGCGAGGGCAGGTCCTTGCCCCTGGGACACTGCTCCGAGGGTTTTGCTGTGTGTGCACACACGTGTGTATGCACATGCGCATTTATATGGGTATGGTGTCAGAATTATGGGGAAAGGATTCAAGGTCTCGGCAAGAGATCCCTCCTCTTACTTTGTACCTGCACACACGGATGTAGAGTAGGCCCTTCTCATTCCTGAGCCTTTAAGGAGAGAAGGAAGCGAGGAGTGGGAAGAGAGAGACAGTAGGAGGACAGAAAAGGAATGAGAGGAAGAAGAACGTTTTCATCTATCTGAATATAGGAAACTGGGTAAGTAGGGAGAGACTGTTTTTTCTCTTTGGTCAAAAGGCCTGCGGGGGAACGCAGAGAGGACAGAATATGTCTGGTGGAAGAGCCCGTGCAGTACCCAGGGCCTTGGTAATCCTACTTGCATTGACGGCTCCCTATCCCTGAAGACTGAGAGCCCACCCTGGTCACCTGCTTTAGGGTCTTCACACTCTCATGGATGGGCCTGGGTAATCCAACCAAGGTGTCTGTGTCCCTGTGAAAGGCCAGAAGGAGGAGGGGGACACAGGTGTTCATAAGCCCCTGAAGTATAGAGAACTGCCAACATCCCCCAGAGTCACACAGATCATGCCATTTTCAGCATCTATCCTCTGGTACCCTGACCCTCCTCTGCAAGTTCTGGGCCCCCATCACTGCTTCAGGATACAAAAAGAACAATGGTACACAGGCATGTCCCTGGAAATTAGGAGATGTAGATAGTTTCCTGGGGACTTACTTGGTCTAGGAGTGCTAGGTTTCTCTTAAAGGGTAACATAGCCCAACGGTACTTTTGACAGTGAAACCCCAGTAACAAGATGCCTTCTCGGGTTTTGTAGAGGCCAGTGGGAAGGAATCTTGAGGGTGGGGAAAAGGGGACGACTGGATCTGTTCTGACCATGTATCTCTCTTCTTTACAGAATTTTAGACCATTAGAGCAGGAAGGGGTTCTGGGGACCATGTAATCCAATACCCTCCTGAGGAAACTGAGGCCCAGAAGGTTCAAGTTCCTAGAGCTGGTCAAGAACGCACAAGTTCATCTAGGAAAGTGGAAGGAACCCAAGGAGAAAGTCCCATGGAAAGAACCCACAATGGGTCACAGGGAGTTCCTATGGCCTGTGGCTCTTGGCTGCATCATGACTACCAGGCAGCACCTTCCATTCCAAGTCACCCACTCTGCTGGCCCTCTAGGAGCCACTTGTGGACAGTTCTGACCACCTAGTCACTTACTGCCCCAGAGTGAATCCGATGAACTTGTTCCTGCTCATCTCCAGGAAGTGCTCAATGTCCTTCTGTCTGAGAGAACAGTGGAGACCAATACCAGAGAAGGGAAGAAAAGCAAACTTTGAGAGAGAGAGAACCTTTCTGGCGGCTCACTAGTTAAGAGCTCAGGCTACTAACCAAAAGGTTGGCATTCGAATCCACCAGCTGCTCCTTGGAAACCCTTTGGGGCAGTTCTACTCTGTCCTATAGGGTCACTATGAGTCAGAATCGACTCAACAGCAATGTAACCCATCCATCAAGAGTATTGGAGCAGTGGGGGAAGATAACAGCCAACAAAAGAACTTCAAACCCAGGAGTTCTGACTCCTAGCCCAGCTTGTGGAGCTTGAAACACATGGAAGATCCGCCATGGGCCTTCGGTGATTGAAACCCCAAAGCTCAGGATTCCTAAACCCCCTATTGCTGTCAAGTCAATTCCAACTCATAGCGACCATAAAGGACAGAGCAGAACTGCCCCATAGGGTTTCCAAGGAGTGGCTGGTGGATTCGAACCACAACCTTCTGGTTAGTAGCCAAACGCTTAACTACTATGCCACCAGTGGTCCCTAGTGCTATCAAACCTACCTGACTTTTGGGGCCCAGGGTAGGCCCTTGGGAAAGGCCACCCGCTCAGCAGAGAGGGATGCCTGGGAGGGTGGTGGTGGTACCAGAGGGTCCTGCTCTAACAGGTCTAACTCTCCATCCAAGGCTCGTTCTCCATCACCAGCACACTCCTCTTCCTCCTCTGCAGCTGGTTCCTCAGTTTTGAAGAGATCTCTTTCATTGTAGATGTCCAGGCTGTCCTGCTTAGTGAGGAGTTGCTGCGGGAGGGGAGGTATTCAGAGATCTCACCTTGGGCCACAGCCTGAGGCTACCCCCACCCATAGGCTTCAGGGAACATGGAGCAAGAACCCAGCTCTTGTGAGAACATCTCATTCCCCACCTCAACCCTACTGCCCCCACCAGGCCCAATCCCAGGACAAGCAGCCCTCAGACAACCACACCAATGTCCAGGGAAGAGAGGGTAGATAATGCCAAAGTCACAGCTATTTAGCTTTCAGAAAGCATGAATGCGTTTTTTTGCCAGCACTTAGCTAATTATGCTCTGCTTAGGTGAACATTCAATTAGTTTGCTTTCTGTGAGCATACACCAGCTGGCTGACTGAGGAAGACAAGGACAGAAGCTTGCTGCTAGGCAGAGGGAAGTGGGTTTGGAATTTTAAATCTTGTAGCAGAAACCAAAAAAAAGATTGGACAGAAATAGGCCAAAAAGTTAACAGTGACTGCCTCTGGTTGTTAAGACTGTGGGTGATTTTTTTTTCTCCCTCTTCTTCACATTTTTATATTTGTTCCAAATTTTCTACAATGAGTAAGCATTACTTTATAGAAAAAAAATAAAGGTTAAAAAAGAAGTCACACTGCAGATGGATAATGTGGACTGGATTCCTGAGAGTGACTGTCTGGCCCTGCCACCTGTAGTTGGTGAACTCAGGTAGGTCAGGCAGGTGAGTTCATGGAAGATGGTTAGGTCTCAGTGAGACTTGTCTTTCTGACCTTTCCAAGGCTGCAGATCACACCTTGGACTCTAATCAGCCATCTGGCAAATGTAAGCCTTTGGTCCCAGGGCCAGACAAAGGGCATGGCTGGCTTAGAGCAAACCTTCCTGCTGCCAAGAAAAAGGTAAAGTAGCCTCACAGGATTAGCTGGGGGCCCCGTTCAGGTGCTCTGGGTCTCTATCCCTTGCATACACCCTAGCTGTTGTTCAGGTTGCTAGGGAAATCCGAGCTTAGAACTGAGGCCCAGGCTGATGACCCTGTAGCCCAAGTAGAAAGACACGGATCTACGATGTGACATACAATGTCACCTCATGACAGCCTGTTGTTGTCAGGTGCCGTCGAGTTGGTTCTGACTCAGAGCGACCCTACGAGCCTGCTATCAGGTATGAGGGACAGAGGCCAATGCAGAGACTCCAAGGTTGCAGGTTGGTCACAGTGCTGACCCAGGGCAGGGGGGCCTGGTCATTTACTGCCTTTTCCCACTACACTCAGAGTAGTTTAGAATCTTGATTTTTGGCCAGCTCGTGCCACACCACTACTGTCTGCTTTCGTCCATACCCTTCGAGAGCCACGGCGGCCTCGCAGCTTGGAGGGTGGTGGCGCCAGCTGAGACTCGCCAAGGTCGAGTGTGTAGGAGGGCGGGGAGGCAGCACGCATGCTCTTCACCACCTGGATGCTGTCCTCAGCCAGGGGAGGCAGGCCCAGTTCTGCCCGCTTCTGTACTTTGAGAGCCTGCAGATGCTCAAACCCACCAAGAGTAAACTGTGGGGCAAACAGGACAGGGACAGAGTGGAGAGAGGAAGGGAGGAAGTCAGACAGGGCAAGGTCAGGGAGACAGGGACGGAGAGAGAGTGAAAGAGCCACAACCTCCAGTCTCCTCGGGCCCCCTCCTTAATAAGGCCAGGATAAAACAGGAAGGGGCACCCAGGGTTACCATCCTAGTCTGAGGAGCTCTCAGCATAAAGCACCATCTACTGACCTAGCGCTGGAAACATCACCAGGAATTAGGAGAGTGACTCCTGAGATCCCCGTTGGAAAAACCAGAAACCGTATGTCCCCTTTGAAGGAGCACATGCAGATGCTATAAACCCCAGAGGTCACTCAATTTCCTCTGTGGCCAAGAAGCAGCTCTCCCTATGAGGCCTGTGCCAGAGGTGTGCTGTTCAGCCAGCCCTGGGGTATGGAAGCCGGAGACAAGGGATGAAGAACTAGTAACAAAACTGTAACCACACAATTACAGGGACTTCATTTTTTAAGAAACAAATACTGTATTTATCTGGATGGGGGGCAGGCACTAACCCCCACGTTTTACAGCTAGAGAAACTGAGACACAGAGTTGTCTGAGGTCCCTCAGTATCAGCAGAGCTCAGAGCTCCTAACATGTAGCCAGGGTTCTTCCTACAAAACGTCAGCTCCATCAGGGGAAGGTGCCAGGACACCCCAAATCACAGAGCGGCATCACCCCTCCATCCAGTGCAAACAGGTCACCTGCTGCCACAGGACCTACTTTCTCTAGGGCAGCCTGACTTCCCCTCTACTAGCCAACAGCTGCCCTACTCTGCAGCCAAGACTCAGCTTCCCAAAATCAGACTACAGGGCAGAGCTGAGGATCAGCTACTCACCATGACCACCTTCCACAGCAGAAGCAGGACCTTCTTTATGGGGAAGTGCGGGGCCAGGCCGCTGCAGAATTTAGTAACCATGGAGAAGAGTAGAAGGGCAAAAGGTTCCTCATTGTGCACGGAGAAGCCTGGGGGTGAAGAGAGAGCAGAGGAGAGCTTGAGGAGGTAGCTGAACTGCTGCTCCCACACCTGACTCTGCACTCTGAGGAAGGCACTCACCTCTCCAGAATTCCAGGGTCCTTGGTCCTGAGAAGGAGGCTTAAAGAGCCCCTACAGGGAGGCCCCAAGGCCCCAAAGGGAGGCCGTCGAGGTAAAACGGCTTATCCCCCACAGCTCAGGTGTGATGCTTGGGGGTGGATGCCAAACTAGAAGTAACAGCCATAAAGATGTTGCTTTCCAGCTGAAGACTCAATGCATTTCGTGGCTCAGACCTCACCTTCCCACATCAATGATTATATTTTAAAATTCCACAGGCCTTCATAGTCTATCCCTGTCAGATGACAACACCACCTTACATTTGAACAGAGCTCAGTTTTCAAGGTGACTGAACTCAGTTTTTCATGTGGGATTTGTGATAGAATGGGAGAAGGACAACTATTCCCATTTATACCCCAGGCAACCAAGCACAGAGAAGTTACATGACCGGTCCTAGCTCACAAACATGGGGCAATCAAGCCTGGCCCTCGTGCCTGCCACACAGCTTCTCTGTCCTAACAGCAGCAAAAAGGAAGAAAAAGGGTTGTTTGTGTCTCCTAGGCAATGCTATGCTCCCCCTCGACCATCAGCTCCCATTCTCACCCTTCCCCAGTACCACTTCTTACTCAATTCAGTGCGGAAGGTCTCCCGGGCTGTCCTCCACCCACAGGAGTCTGTCTCTCGCTCCAGGCGGATGTTTTCCACCATCAGGTACATGACGCTCAGCAGCACCCTGAGGTTACAGAGGGTCACAAGAGGTTCCCAAGCAGCTCCCAGCCTGTTGTCAGGGGAGGGAAACTTTCTCATTCCCCTCAGGGATGGTCGCTGGGGAAGCCCAACCCAGTTAGATTAGCCAGAGGGCAACTTCCTGGTGGACTGGTTAAATCTGGGATTTGGGGAAAGGCTAACCCCCCCATCCAATCCCAAGCGCAGCCCCCTCACCGCAGCTCTGTGCTATCAGCAATGGAGATGGCTGGCTTCCGGAGAGCGCTGCTGCAGGCCTGGCTGTTGCTGCCATGGGGAGGAGGGAGAGAAAACACCCATAGGGCCTCTTCCCTTCTTGTCCTCCCACTTATCATACACACAAGCAGGAGCACCTGCCATTCCCTGGCTATCAGCCACTAAAGAAACTGGTCTAAGGTGGAGAAGCCCATATAATTCCTTCTGCCACCTCAGCAAGTCCACACCTGCGGTGAAGACAGGCAAGAACGGCGTTTGCGGTGTCCACTCCTCCTGTAATCCCACCATGCCTAGTGCTGAGCTGGACACAGAATGGATGCATAATGAACAAGTGTCACTCTACTCAAAACTCCTGGTGACAGGCATGAGAGACAAAGTAAGGGGCCACTGTAGTGGTGGTGGCAGATAAGGCCACCACGAGGAAGTGGCCCTGTCCCACTGGGACAATGCTCTCAGGAGAACAGTTTCCTTCATGGACTCCAGGGCTAGGCTGAGCTGAGAAGGTGCATGGATAAAAAGGGAGCCCACCCTGGAGAAGTCCCAGGATTGAATCTATAAATAGAGCAGAAGTGCTGCTGAGCTCAAGCTCAGGGAGGGAGGACAGAATATCAGGGACCATGGCTGGATGGAGAGGACTGGCAGTGAGCCCTGGGCTGAGGTGTGAGGAGACCGAGCTCCTCACAGGGGCCTCTAGAGGGAAGCAGCACAGGAGCTGAGACCCCCTCAAAGAAGGGGGTTGTCTAGGCCAGCCCGCCCCAAACGCTGCTCACTCGATTTCCATGTGGAGTAGCTCCAGAAAGGCTGAGAAGGTCCCCATCTGATAGAGCAGGAAGCAGTTGTACCTGGACCAGTGTAGCACATCGACTTCTGAATCACATTCCCCAAAAGTACCTAAAGGACCAGACAGTGCCATAGGGGTTGAGGGGGGCATCCCAGTTCTTCCCACCCTGCCCCGTGATCTTAGACTATCCTCCAGCACCCTGCCCAACAATTAGGCTAGCAAAAGTGGGAACAGGGCCCTCCAGAACTTCCTGGAATGAGGCTGGGGAGAGGAGAGGCAGTCTCCAGCGTTAGGTCTAAAGCATTCATCAATGGCCTGTCTTAAGTCTGGATTCCCTCAGAGGGAAATTCCGAGATAGATTCAAATGCAAGTAGCTTTTAGAGGATTTAGGCCAGGAACCATCAGTAGAGAAGAGGGGAAGTGAGAAGGGGAAGTGATATAGGGAAGAGACAGTCCAAAGAGCTCAGACCCAGAAGGGAAGCTCTGGGAAACTATGTACAGCACACAACTAGGGTTCCCATACCCAAGAGGACGAGGCGGTTGGGCTGGTCATCCACTAACTCTTGCCAGGCACTGGCTGAGGCTGCTGGGTAGGGGAGAGCATTACGCACCCAGCACCTCCCGGCTGCCCTATGTGTTCTTCAGAGAAAGCCCTCGGGGTAAAAGATGAAGGTACTAGAAGTTGGAAGTTGACCAGAGCAAAAGCCCCGAGGGCTATGGTGGGCACCGCCCTGTTTGCTACAGGATCTTCCCTTCACACAGTGTCCACCCTCTTTCCTCTGCATTTATTAATTTTCTCTTTTCCAATTTTTTAGCTTCCAACTAGTTGGTTCTGCCCACAATCCACATACTTAAGATCTCGGGGCTTATTTTCTCTATACCAGCTAGGCAACCTTATTTCCCCTTCCGACACCTTGCTAACAGGTCACTTCTGGGAGGCTTTAGCCAATTCATCTCACTTAGTTATGACCATCTCCAAACTACTCATAGCCTCTACTCCTTGCTACTACATTGGCTTGAACCTTCTAACCAGTGAGAAACAAGCAGAGGGCCCATGTGTGAGTCTCTGTCACCCCTGCCTCCCCTCAGTGTCTGGTCCAGGCCACAGCTGATGAGAAGCCGCCACGCTCAGCTAGTGATGCATGTCAGCTCTGGCCACACTGACCCGCTTGCTGGTCTCTACATATGATCGCAGTCCAGGATGGGGGAAAGAAAGAACTCTCTAAGAAGGCCTGGTCTGCCTGGTAGAGGAAGATCCCAAGGGATCCAAAACAACACCCCATACCATCTCATCTTTCTCATAAGCACATGACAGGATCTCTCCTTGACAGGCAGGGGACGTTGCCTTCCCAGCATGGCCTGTGTCTTCCCGGTCCTGATAACACCACTTCTCTCCCCAGCCTCCACCCTCTTCAGGCTGGCAGGGGTGGTCACTTACCCTGGGCCAGGTAGAGAACAGCGCGGGACACCTTCAGCCGCTGCTCCCTACTGACCACCTCCAGCCGATCCAGGAGTCCCATTACATAGGCCTTCTGGGCATCTTCTTCCAGCTCCAGCCACTCCTTGCCCTGCACTGGAGACAGAAGGCCAGACTCATTCAATGTAAGCTGCTGCCCCCTTCCCAGGGAGGCTCCTGATAGCACACCCACCTCTGATCTCAGCCCCCCAAAAATCTTTCTCTTCAAAGGCTTCCTTACCTAACTGAGCAAGAGTGAGGCATGGGAAAAGAATCCAAAATGTTCTGGCTTGCATCCACTTCTGTAGCCTCACCTGCAGCACGCACTCCATCCTCTACACACAGCCTATACTGTGGTGTCTCTGCCTTTCCTCATGTGGTTTAGCCTGTCTCCCTACATACCCAATTTCATTCATCCTACAGGCTCAATACAAAAACTACTTCCTTCCCACTAATGCCCCAGCAAGAAGCTCTGTCTCACAAGACATTTTACTTCCTGGTGACACTTAGCTTTTTCCTCTTGGCCTCAGCTAGTTTTGTGATGTACACATCTCCCCTCACCTACCAAACTCTAAGCTGTTTGAAGATGCTGCAAATTCACCTTCACCCTTGCCTCTCTGGCACAGAATACATGCTCACTGCACGTTTGTTGAATTGTGAACTGAAATGCCACTGGAGGTCAGAGAAGGTCACAGTGTGGGCACATGAAATTGCTGTTTGATGCTGTTGGGAGTGGGGCACAGCTGGGGGCAGGGACTGAACATTCAGGTCAAGAACAAGGCTAGGTATGGTCCTACCAGGCAATTCCAGCCAGCCCCATCGTACCATCCCTCTGCTTCTTGTCCTTTGTACCAGGGAAGGGGGCCCAGCTCAGGCTTCTACCCCATGGCCTGTTCACCTGAGATATAGAAAACCCTGTACCCTACGGGCAAGAAGGGGAGGGTATGTGGTTATGGAGGTGATGAGGAAGGATCACACTTTGTTTCAGCATTTTACTAGGTCAGGCTCAGACATCATGAAGGGAGAAAGCAGGTCTCTGTGAATAAGGTTCTGGGATCACCTTGAGTCTTGACGTCTTCTTCAAAGCACCTCCGGTTGATGGTGAACTCCAGGTTCTCAGTGTAGCTGTACAGTTCTGTGCAGGAAAGACAGGACAGAGTCACAAACCTTCAGCAGACCCTTACAGCAGTGGCCTGGGGTGGAGAGGGTGGCAGGGAAGAGCTGAAGCTTCCAACACATTCCTGTGTCCAATTCAGTCCAGAGCCAGCTTCCTCCCTTTCAGAGCCATTAAAAATAGCCACGTGTGTCCCGGGTGATTAAGCCATCAAACCTGTCCTCCTCCTGCCAGCTGGCTGCTGCAGCAGAGAAGGCAGCCTTCAACATTTGCTGAGGGCCAGGAGAAGGGTTGGAGCACAGAGGGCTGAATGCCATCACTCCTGTCTCTCAGGGCCATAACCCCTTCTGCTTTGCCCACCCAGGCTGGGATCCTTCTGCCTAGGGAAGAGGGCAACATAAGTCCTGAAACACAGAGGCAACAACCTGCGCTGCTCAGGGAGCCAGGGTGGGGCCTGGTGAGTCTGTGCTACATGGCTCTTCAAGGATGGAGCCAGTTCACTCTCTCCCTGCTGGGTTTCCCTGAAGGGTATAGAAGTTTCTATTCCCGCCCACGGCCACCCAGGCAGAGGCAGCATCAGGCCATGTAGACAGTAGCTAAGGGCTGCTTGTGCCCAGGAAAATGTAACTTCACTGGAAGCAGCCTCTCTATACAAAATGCAGGAAGCCTATGAGAAACAAAAATGCCCCTCCCTACACACGCACACATTCCAGAACATTACATTAGCACCCTCATCTTACAGAGGATGAAGAATTGAAGTTGAGAGGCCAGTAGGTGATAGAATTCCTCGAGATCTCTGCTCCACAACAGGGGCCCCAGCTGGAAAGGTAACAAGGTCCCAGGTAATTCACAAAGCAAGAGATTCACCTACCAACCAGTCAGCTGTCTATCGGCTGAGCTGTGCCTCTTCTGGGAGACAGGGCTTTGGAGTCCTGAGCTCTAGAGGCCCCTGGAGCGACCAGAGGCAAAGCTCATCTTTGAATCTTAAAATCCTCAGTCATTAGTGGAGAGTGTAATTACCATGAGCCCAGGAAGAAGAGTGAGCAAGGCTTGTAGGCACTGAACCATGTTTTTGCTTTTTATTTGATTTTAAGTTATGAAATTTCATACACAGATAAGCACAGAATACATTTAAGACACCTCAGTATCCTCTACGCAGATTAAACAAATGTTAACATTTGTCACATTTGCTTCAGATCTTTACACATCTGAAGTCCCTTCCGCCTCCTCCTCCCTAGTCTATCTTATTCCCTTCTTTAGCGGTAACTGCTATAATGAAGTGGGTGTGTATTCTTCACGTACCTATTTTTATACTTTCACTACATATGCATGTGCCCGTAAACAACATATGATATTGTTCTGTGTTGTGAAAGTTTTATCCAAGCAGTATCATACTGTGTACATTCTTTTGCCACTTGCTTCTTTCCCCTTCAACATTATATCTTCCAGATTTATCAATATTGAAGCATGTTGATATAGATCAAATATTTTAATGGCTACATAGCCTACCATGTTGATATCCTACAGTTTATCCATCTCCCTACTGACGGGTGCTTTATAGGTTGTTTTCAATTTTTCACAATTATAAATAAGGCAGCAGTAAACATCCTTGTGTATGTTTTCTTGTGCCAAAGAGTAAGTTTCTTCAGGGTATACACCAAGGAGTAGAATTGCTGGGTCCTTATATACGTGGGTCTTCAACTTTACTAGGTAGCACCAAATTGCTCTCCAGTTTTATACTCTGCTTTCCACTCCCAGCAGTGTATAAAGTACTCATTTCTCTGCATGCTCACCAGCCCCAGGCTTTTAAGTTTTGCAATCTGATGATTGTGGAATAGTATCTCATTATTTTAATTTGCTTTTCCCCCTCTATGAGTGACACTGAACATCTTTTCATGTATTTATTGATCATTTGGTTTTTTTCTTCTATGAATTCCTATTCATATTGTTTGCCCACTTTTCTATTGGGTTGTTTGTCTCTCTTCTCCCTATACATATATGTATTCATATTCTGGATTCTAATCCTTTGTTACTAAAAACTTAGCTCTTTATTTCTCTGTCATTCACCACAAAATTTATTCCCTATGCTTATTCACAAGTACTTCTTTAAAAATTTGTCTCCTTTCTCTGAAAAAGCATGTCTCAAAGTATCTTTTCCATGTGACAGAATATTTAACTTTCACACCATCTCCACCCAAAGCTTGTTTATTAATAACTGGCATTCACAGAACGTGGAACACAGAGGCCATTAATGTGTGGGGATCACAACTACCCCAAGCTACAAACCCCGACTGAGAAGCAGCCCGGTGACGAAAGAAGGACAGGACCCCTTAACCCTAGCTCAGAGATATCCAAGCAGAGCTCCACTGTGGTGGGTGTAGGGACATGTCTAGCCCTACTCAGCTGGCCCGTTGTCTATAGAGTTTTTGTTTCACCATGGCTGAGATTTCAATAAGGGGCAGGTGTTAGGAGAGAGGGAAGGATGGAAGTGGAAGAGACAAAGGAGAGAGACACGGACAGGGGAGGTGACAGAAAGACAGGAACATGCAGAAGGGAAGAGGGGAGTGGAAAGAAAGGAGGAGAGAGAAGAGGTAGAAAAAAAACAGATTTGAGAGTGCACCACAGGAGAATAAAGAGTGAGATGAGCAGGAAAAAACAAAAAAAAAAAAGGACAGTGCAGAAGGAAAGAATTCACAGAAAGAAATGTGAAAGCAAACAAAGGGATATTTACCAGTGGAGGGCAGAGAGAAGAGCGAATGTGGAGGACACACTTGTTCAATAGCCCCTCGCTGGGAACAGACAAACTGTGAGGGAAGGTCCCTCTCCTCCTGGCCCTTCACCCGCTCTCTACAGACCTGGCTATCTACCTCATACCTGACAACTCTGCTGCATGCCCGTCGGAATCTCCATACTCAAACTCCAGAGTGGGGCAATCCACAGAGCCCTGTAATGGAGAAATCTTTGTAGTAACTGAGGCAACTTGGGAAAAGGGGTTGAGAAGGGAAGATTACACCCTCACTGCATTTTCTTCCCGTTGGAGGCCAAGGTTAGATCAGGGAGGAGAGTTCCATCTGGGAGGTACCCTCCTCCAAGCCAAAATCTGAGGCTCAGTGCAGGGAGGGGCTGAGGATTCCTATACAGAATCAGAAGCTCTGGGTAAAGGTCAGGAGTGTGAACAGATGTGAAAGCTACCTACATCCTACACCCATATCTGGTCTATATAAACACAGCCAAGGAGAGCCCCTAGCTGATCTCTAGAAAAATGAGACGGGCAAAAACAAAAGAGAGAACTGGATTCTAGCCTCAGCTGTCATTAAGCCACTGTAGGATCTGGGTAAGTCTTTTTCTGCGGACCGTAGTTGATCATCTATAAAAAGGTCGCTCAGCTCTAATGTTCCATGACTTTAGGATTCTCATATAGGGTAGCATTTCCACTCCAAGTTGTATTAAAGACTAGATTTCCTATGACGTTGTCTATGTATATTTATAATCTCATTTTAAAAATATTTTTAATATAATTCCACCCCCTACCTTTTTAAGCATTTTGGGGTATTTCCTGGTAGATATATTACTATATATAAATTTTTAAATTTTTGAGTCTCAACTCTGTCACTAGCTATGTGATCTCGGGAAAGTTACTTAACTTCTCTGTGCCTCAGTTTTCTCATCTGTAAAATGGGGATAATAAACGGACTTACTTCATAGGATCATTGTAAGGACTAAAAGAGTTAATATAGGAAAAACACTTAGAATATCGCCTACCACTTGGTATTACTATATAAGTGGTTAACTATTCTTATTCTACTTAAAATTTTAATATTATAAAGACATATTCTCATGTTATTGTGACTATTTATTTATTTTGTGTGTGTGTGACTATCACTTTAAATGGTTGTTTAAGTGGATGGATACCTATTGGTACTTAACCAGTCTCCTACTGCTGAACATTTAGGTTGTTTTTAATTTTTCTTTATTATATGCATGAAGGTTCAATACACTTATAAATTTTTCCACAGTTAGAATCTTTCCCAAGGATAGATTCTTATAAAGAGAATTAATACATCAAACCTGATGAATATTTTTATGGCTCTTTATTCATGGCAAGTTGTCTTCCAAAACCACTGTACATTGTGAATAAGGCAAATCATGTTTAAATCCACTACAGCAAAGACTTCTATACTTTTGGATTGCAGAAACCAGTAGAAATTAAAACTAACAAACAAAAAAAATTGGGGGAATAGGGAAATGATATAGGGCCATTTATGTTTTATTTTGACAAGTAGGGACTTAAAAAACATTTTTTCAAAAAATATATTTCAAAAAGAAAGAATACCTTAATATCCCCAAAATTGGAAGGACATAGGCCTAGAATATAGGACAAATTAAAAGCAGTGTTTTTCAAACTTTTTTTGACCTTAAATCAAAGTATAAATACATTTTACATCAAGTCTGAACACACACACATATAAAACAGGAGCAAAATTTTAATAAAATATTTATTCTTTCTATGTGTGATGTACTCTGATATTTTCTATTCTATTTCTTAAAAAAAAAAAAAAAGAATGCTGGTCCCAACTCACAGGTTGCTTCCCACAGTTTGAAAAACATTGTTTTAAATTGTATACATCTTTTAAATCTAATATAGTGAACTGCATTTTATGAAAAACTCACTTCAGTGCCATGAATTTTCCTGATTTTGCCAAAGACCAGTTAAAACTTTGTCAAGAACCTTGGGAACCAGCAGATCAGAGGGTCTGGTTGAAAAGAGGCCTGCAGTGAATCCTTTTGTTAGGTTAAGAATCTTTTCATTAAACAAACAATTATTCTCTAGCTTCCTTTTTAGGCTGAGAGTAAGCCACTGGGAGAGAGGTCAAAAGTGCCCCTGTAAACCCTGTGATGTACAAGGCGACTAGACTTGTGCCAACAGTAATTCTCTTCTAGTAATTATCGAGAAGCCCAGGTGAGGAAAGAAAACCACCTTCCCTGAGGACTGTCTCCTACAGAAAGCAAAAGGAGGGAGAGAAGGGAAGGCAGACAGTCATCTGAGCCTGGCACCTGGGTGCTGTGGTGACAGAGGAGCTACTGACAGGTAGAAGCAGCTCTCCTGCTGCAGCGAAGGTGGAGGAAAGCTAATCTTCCCAGCCAGCCTTTTGGCAGGCAATGACCCCAGATAACAATGATCATTGCAGTTGCTGGTTTCCAGGCATGAGAAGTGCAGCTGCAGGCAGTCAGGAGTTAACTGTGGTGCAGGTGGCAAACTCGGAGTGCCTGGATGCTGAGCTTATGCAAAATGGGGGCACAAATTTCTGTCTCAAGGGGCTGCAGTGATTAATAGAGATAATATTTGAAAAGTATCTGATACGCTCATGCAAAGTGCCATCAGAGCCTGGTGCTGACGGAAGGCTTGAGACGCAGGGAAGAGGCTCCTACCTCAGAAGGGAGATCTGGCACATATCACTCTGAAATTATTTTGATTTTTTCCTTGAATATTTTATCTGTCTCCCCCCACTACTGTTTGTTCCACAAGGGCAAAAAACCTTGTCTTGTTCACTGGTGTATCCCTAGCACTTAATACAATGCCTGGCATAGAGAAACCAAACCTGATACTGACTCCTAGCAGCCCTACAGGACAGAGTAGAATTGCCCCATGGGTTTTTAAGGAGCAACTGGTGGATTCAAACTACTGACCTTTAGGTCAGCAGCTGAGCTCTTAACCACTAGCCCACCAGGGCTCAAAAGAACTCAGTAATTGTTGGATTAATGAGTTAACTCATCCCTCAAAAAAAAAAAATTTTTTTTTTTCTTTTTGTTCCAGCAAGAAAAATGTCTCTGTGAGAAACGAGGCACAGGGTGACCTAAAAAAAGCCAGACTGGTTCTGAGGCAGGAGGCAGATGATGTGGTGGACAGGACTGACCTAGCAAGGCAGAAGGGCTCATGTACAACCAAGCTATGTCTCTGAAAGGTGGTGCGACTTTGGGCCAGTCTTTTCACTTCCTCCACGTCTATCTTCAAAAAAATGAAGTGCGTTCCTCCTATGCTTATATCTAAACAGGAAGCATACATTAAATCATTTTGTAAACTCTGAAGTGTTAGTCAAATGATAAGCCGTAAACCAGGATGCCAAAGACCTGGCTTCTAGTACCACCTCTGCCACGTGGTACTAGACAGTAATATGATGATGATAGTAATATAGTACTAAGAGCTACTATGTACTGACCAACTACATCGTGCCAGCATGGGGCCGAATCTTTTCCATCCAGTTATCTCCTTTTGACTTTATCGCAACTTTCTGAGGTAGGTAGTGTTAACTCCATTTTACAGATGAAGAAACTGGCATTCAGAGTGGCTCAGTAACTGGCCAAAAGGGCTGGGATTCAAACCCTGGTCTAACTGACCCGGAAGCTGGTGCTCTTGGCCACTACACCAGATGTAGGATCTCAGGCAAGTCACTTCTGCCTCTTTTCCATCTATAAAATGAAAGGGCTACACCAGATGACTCTACAGACTCTATTGACATTTTGTGGTTCTATTAGCTTGATCCCTGCTCGGATCCAATTCTGCTCTTAGCTATTTGATGAAAACTGGCTAGACTGGGGTCGTGGGGAGGGGGAGGATGATAATAATTCACTCCTTTCATCTTCCTAGTTAGGATTTCTTTTCAGGAGAAGAGGTAGTACCCAATCTCCTATCTGTGGGTTTGAGTCCTGGGACTGTTCCATCCAAATACTCCCGTACAGCACCTGCCTGATCCTGTCTCGATTAACCCTTACAGGTGGGGATCCTCACGTTTGTGGACAGCACTCCCTAAAGAGCCTAACAACATACAGAGGGGAAGGCCAGAGTTACCTCGCAAACCTGGACCAGCTCAGGGACGCCATGGCAGCCTTGGAGGAGGCGGGGCGCTGCCCGCCAACACTGACCCCTCTTTTCTGAAGCTGAGCTCTGGCCTCCCCGCCCCGGGCCAGTCACTTCACTAGCCCCCTTGGTTTGTCCTTAGTAAAACGGGAATACGAGTTCCTCCCTGAAGGGCCTGCAGCGATTAACAGAGATAACAGTTGACAAGTATCTGGTACTCCCGACGCCGCGCTACATCTTCGCGCCCCTGGAGGAAGGCCAGAGACGAGAAAGCCCACCCCACCTGCTGCAGGAGGCATACAGAGGGAGTCACCGGCCGCAGAGACCGGACTCCAGGACCCCGCGAGCGCCCTGCGAGGGTCTCGGGGCGAGTGAGCCCGACGAGCTGGGGTCTTGGGGCGCCAGGATCTCGAGGCGAAGAGGCCCAGGGAGAGGGACCCAGGGCTCGGGAGCCCGGGGCGCCGGGGTAGCGGGGCAAGAGGGCTCAGGACGGCGCGCCAGGGTCTCGGGGAACCGGGGTCTCGAGGAACCGGGACGAGGGGCCCGGGACAAGGGGCCCGGGGTACCGGAGTCTCGGGAGGCGGGAACGACCCAGGGCTCGGGAGCCGGGGCGCGGGGTCTCGGGGCAACAGGGCCCAGCGCGGGGTGCCGGGGTCTCGACGCGCGGGGGCGAGGAGCCCGTGGCCTCCGGGTTGGGGACGAGGCTGTCGGGAAGCGTGGGACCCCGGGGCGGGGGAGGGGTCGGGCAAAATCACCTCAGCCGCCGCTTCCCGCCCGCGGCGCCTCCCGGGCTCCTCACCTCAGACTCGCGCCGCTGGTTCCTGAACGCCTCTTGGCCCTTGGGCGCTGCCTGCTTCCCTTTGCCGCTGTTGCTATTGCCATTGGCGGGAGGGCTCCCCGCCCCGGCAGCAGCAGGTTCCTCCATGCGGCCCCGCTCGGCGCCCGGCGCGCTATGCCCGGGGCGCCCCTGCAGCCTCTTGCCGGGAGCACGGCCACGCCCCTCCGCAGCAATTGGCTGAGGCTACTCCCCGCAGCCCCGCCCCGCAACTCGATTGGCTGTCCCTCCGCTTCAAGCGGGACTGGGAAGAGGTGGGGGCTCATACAAGAGATACTGCGGCGTCTGGGAGCCGGAGCCTGCTGGGCCGACTCTCCCCTCCACCTCCTGAATTCTGGGCCTTGAGCTCAGGCAGGTTTTCTCTCAGCTTCTCGTTTCCTTTTAGGGGGCCCTAGTCTCCGCCTCCTGCTCCGCTGCAGTCTGCTTTTCCATTACCACAAACCCCTGGCCCCAAAATCCTGGCTCCTGCAAGCGTCCCAAAACCCGCTTCAGTCGCAGTGAGACATGGCACCGCCGGCTGGCCGCGGATCCCGCAAGACACGAGGATCTTGGCCTTCACCCTCCCTGGAAGCTGAACGTTTTTAAGGGAACGCATCACTCCCCTCCTCTGAAGTGAGGGCTTGACGGAGACAAGGGGGCTGCGGGGTGAGGTGGCGTTTTTAGTTCACGGAAATTGCTGAATGCCCTGGAAATTGAGGGCTGCTGCTGGTTATCTATCTGCTTTTCCTTGCTGTTCTGGCGCGCCTTCCTCGTGGTGTGAGTTAGAGAGTAAATGCTGAATAGAGATCAAGCCACGATCCCCCACCGGCTCCCCAGTCTTTTCCTTCCTTTCGCTCTCCTTCCTAAGGGCTCCGTGTTACCGGAAAGTGGGGCTAGGCGGTGGCAATTGAGGCTGCGTGGACTGTCCTTTTCCGAATTTACCCAAAAAGCAGCTTACAGTGAACATCTAGAGCAGTCTAGATTGGTCATAGAAGCCCCAAACAAACCCCCGGGAAGAGGTTGCGGGGGGGTTGCTGAGCTGAGCTGCCGCTCTGAGTCAGACACTGTACTAGGCACTTTCTAGGTATCATATCATACCTCTCTCTGATAGGTTGTTTTCACTAATCTGATATTACCGATGAGGAAACTAAGACTCACTGAGAGCAATTACTCCTTCAAGTTCCCAAGGTATTGTATTCTATCTTGTCTCCTTCTCTTTGAGTATGCTGTTCTGTCTGAAGGAAATTTTCTGTTCTCTTGGCTGACTCCTTCCTTAAAGATCTACTTAGGCATCACCTCCTCCTCCAGGAAGTCTTCCTTTGGCCCTCCTCAACCTACTCAGGCTGGACTGGCGTCCTGCCTGCATCGAAAATACTTAACGTTTTCCCCAAAGCAAGAGGACCAAAGGAATTACTCTTCCTTCCCATATCTTGGGGACAACTCTATCCCGTTCCTAACCATATCTCTCCCTCACTCTTCCCTCTGCTTGTCTATAGATGACAGATCAAGGCTGAGTTGAGAGGAGGCACTTCTTACAGCTCTCTGGGTTCTTTTCTTTCCCTGCTCCCTAACATCTACTTACTGTACCCACCCACTTTTTTTCTTTTCGCATCCCCACTACTCTATCATCCCACCCCCACAAACCTGGATATATAAACTCCTTGAGAGTAGGGCCAAGTCTTGTTCATTTTTGTATGCCTCATTTATACATGTTTAACATATGGTTTCTCAGCTTCTGTACTATTGACATTTTGGGCTGGATAATTCTTTGTTGTGGGGGGCTGTTATGTGCACTGTAAGATATTTAGCAACATCCCTGGCTTCTACTCACTAGATGCCAGCAGCACCCTCCCTCTGTGTGACAACCAAAAATGTCTTCAGACATTGCCAACTGTCCCCTGGGGGCCAAAATCTTCCCAATAGAGACCCACTGGTTTAGTAGAATCAAATTGGTTTGAATTTCCAAAAACGGCCCTGGCTCAAGGCCTAAGCTACTTGATTTTGGAATTTTTTTGGGAGGTATAATTTGCTAAACTCTTAAGAGATTCACACTCTGCTTTAAAATTCACACCCCATGCCTAGCTCATCACTGCTTTAGTGTGGTAAACCTGCCACAGCACAGCCCATGGGTGCTTCTTAATAAAAAGAGTTATTCTATCCTCCCTTTCCGCAATACCTCTCTTCCTAGCAGCCAGAGCTAGGACTGACAGGATGAGAACTTCATGTTCTCTGTGTGAACCTAGTCAACCAGCAGAATCTCTAGGAGAGGCAGCAGATGGGAGGAACCAGTTCTGAGGCTTTGTTCTTTCTCCTTCCTATCCTTAGGGCAAAGCAGAGAGAGTAACCTTCAACTGGAAGTAGGGTTGAGGACTGTCTCAAGTCTCCTCTGGCCTTTATCTATAGCCAATTGCTGAGCCTAGAGCTCCATCTGGCTACGCTTTTGGAGAAGAGATTTGAAAAAGTGGTGCTATGGAGATTGCAAAAAATCAACAGAGGAGAGACCTCACACCATTATCTTTTCCATCCCCTAGAGGAATGGGAGACAGTAAATATCAGACTATCTGCTCATTATAGGCCCAAACTTTCAGAGCTTGTCATAAGGTGGAAGGCATCTAGAAATAAACCCTGAAAGAAGTAACAAGAAACTACAGATTAACTGAAAACTTTGAAACTATAGGCCATGGAATTGGCACACACTCCCTTTCTTTTAGCTTACTTGTCAACAAAAGAGTAACAACCATCAATACCATTGACCACAGAGGCACTCATAAATATATATAAGAGCTAATTAAGAATTGACACCTTTGAATTGTGGTGTTGGCGAAGAATATTGAATACACCATGTACTGTCAAAAGAATGAACAAATCTGTCTTGGAAGAAGTATAGCCAGAATGTTCCTTGGAAGCAAGGATGGTGAGACTACGTCTTACATACTTTGGACATGTTATCAGGAGGGATCAGTCCCTGGAGAAGGACATCATGCTTGGTAAAGTAGAGGGTCAGCAAAAAAGAGGGAGACCCTCAATGAGATGGATTGACACAGTGGCTGCAACAATGGGCTCAAGCATCACAACAATTGTGAGGATGGCGCAGGACCGGGCAGTGTTTCGTTCTGTAGTACATGGGGTCGCTATGAGTCAGAACCGACTCAACAGCACCTAACAACAACAAGAGCTAATTAGTCAGGGGCTGGTCTACAAGTCTTTCCATCTTAGCGATGGCTCCAGTGCTGAGTTAATTTTAAGGCAGATGGGCCTGCATTGCCAATTTCCCTTTTTCCGCAAATTCAGGTATCCTGAGCCTGCTGGCAGAGGGTTATAAATAGGTATAGTTACAGGGACCAAACATACCTCTTTCCCTCATGTAAACACTAATCCACGGAGGTCAGAGAGTTGATTAAATAGACTGCGCCTGGCACTGAGAAAGCGTAAAAATAAGGTGCAAGAAGTCTTAAAGGACCTGGTTTGTGAGGATATTAGGCAGTGAGGCTAATGTAGCAGAAAAAGCATATAACACCCTCATCCCACATAAAGGGCATGTGTGGATGTAACAAGGCAATGGAAGCTGTAGGGCCCTATACTGAGGTGAGGAATTGATGTCTATGCAGTACCTGATGGGTGCCCAGCTCCGTAAGTGGCATTTTTTATACATCAGGCCATTAAATCCTTACTCTAGGAGATAAGCACCATCCATTTTGCAGGCGAGAAAATGGAGGCTCTGAGTGGTCATATAATTTGGCCAAGTCACACAATTTCAAACCTAAGTTAGCCTGATTCAAAGTCCCAGCTCTTTCCACAAAACCGTGAGGTAAAGAAATTGCACAGCAGTGGGCAACCTGAGCTTACCCTGTGAGTCTGAAACTAGGACTCAGGGCACCCAGGCTTCCATCCTTCACAGGAGTCAAGCTATGTTGTAGAGGAGCAACTCCTGTCAGCTGGCCCACAGGCCTTGTTAGCTGCTGCATCCTCTTCCTCTCAGTTGGAGTGGTACCAGATTTGAGCCATTAACAAGGGCCCAGACTTTTCTAGCCCTGAGGCCATTAGCTTAGGTGAACTCCTGTGGCAGAGGATTCTCATAGGGAGGGAAGGGATGTAGATAAACAAGCATCTTGCATACAAAATGTAGAACCATTTTAGGCTGTTGACTAAAGAAGGTGGCTACTCTACTGGTAGTTGAGAAAGAACAGATAGCTGGATTCATCCTCTGGTTTCCAATCGAGTCAGGCAAACTGATTCATTTCTTTCTTCCTTTCGGTTGCATGTAGTCAGGTCCCGGATGTCAGGGTCTTCTGGTCCCAAACTGTGGGAATGCTGGGTTCCCGTGCTCTCCAGCTTAGATCAGCACACACACGGCTTGGGGGACTCAGAGCCAGGCATTAGTATCTCTGCCCTAAACCCATAGTTCTCAGCTCCCCAGGATGGTGGCTCTGAGAAAGCACGTCCTTTACACACACAGCCAGGGAGGATTAGGTATTCGTTAGTGGAGTGCACCCCTGCCCCTGTCATGGAATAAGGCTCTCAAGGCTAGGGTCATTCAAACATACCTATTGATAACCGCTTCAGCTTCCCATCCTTGCCCCACAGTAAGCCTACTAGCCTGTTGCCCATAGACCTCTCACATCTCTGCTGAATTCCTAGTTCACAGAAGCAAGGAGTACACTCAAGACAAAAATCCATTTTAGGAATATTTTATTTGATTTTGAGATTACATGGTCATTATTGCTGATCTAATACAATCACTCAGACATAAAGATTTCCAGGAGCCTCTCAGAAATGGCAATCCTCAAGGCTTTATTTCCTTTCAGTAAGATAATGAGAACTAATGATTATTTTTTTGATATATATAATATATATATGTATATATAGTTCAGAACTTGTCCATATATAATTTGCTGGTGTTGCCTATTTTCTTTCTGTAATTTTCCTTTATTAAAAAAGTTTAATGCAACAATGCATTTTGATTTCTTTTTTAAAACCGTGACAAAGTTAATTTTGAGAAAACCACAGGAGCAGCAATTTCAGATCTGTTCAGAGAAAAGTCAAGCAGCAAAAAAGCTTTGCAGGAGTATGCGCCCATGGGGAGCCGTGCTCAAATGGGAGGGTAGGATAGGGAGGCAGGAAGGTACAGGGTAGTTAGATCAGATACCTTTTTGTTTGTTTAATGAGAAAAATAAAACTGAATATTTCTATCAAGTAAAAAACAAAAACACCTTGAAAATTAGCAGAAATTCATCGTAGAGAAAATGGTATGTAACCCCTACAGACCAGGGCTATACACAAAGAAACAGATCATGAGCCCTCTTTCCCATGCTTCCAGATACCCGGGATGCACCCAGATACCAGGTGAGAGCTTGGAGGGAAGAAGACACATTTGCTCCAGTTCCAAGGTTAGAGGGAATAATGGCCAGATTCCAACACTAAGGTAGAACCCCAATACTCAGGAGGCCTTCTTCTTAATGGTTGATGAAACAGGATCCCCAGAGAGAGAGAGAAGAGACATTATCTGAAACTCAGGCAAACATCTCATCATGGGCAGCAACACTTGCAACCTAACCTAGAAGCCCAGTGAGGCTCCCTTTATGTTTACAGGAGCTGGGCAGTGTCCTCTGTGAGTACACATAGTGAGCTCATAGAGAGCCAGGCTTTACTGAGAAACAGCAGGTTAAGATTTTTGGCCTTAAGAACATAATAGACTAGAGTCCAGCTATCTGTCTAATGGAATCTGCTCTGGATATAAGGTGAGGTACAAAAGATTTGAATCTTTTGCTAAAAGGATCCAATTAATTATATAAAAATCAGAACTGGGTAGGCAAAGGAAGAACTGAGTGGCCCAGTAGAATTTTCAGCATTTATGGTCTTCCTTACAGGGAAATATAGCTGTATATGTGGCACTTTTCCAATACTTGCTGAGACATATGGCCTCTGAAGAACCAGACTCTGTGGGATGAACCTGTATACTATTTAATGAGGGAAACAGCCACTTACCCAAGCTCCACCTCTCTACCTCCAAAAGTAAGGTCACTTTTAGAACTAGCCCTGAGGGTAAATGTGAAGACCAGGGGAAGCTGGAGAGGGTAGACATAGGGGGAGGGTAGAGATAGGGGAGAAGAATCAGAGTAGGAAGGTTCTAGTGGCCCTGGGTAGTCTGCCATTTTGTGGCATCACCTTGGCCTTGGGACTCTGAGGCAGCCCAGGACAGGAAAAAAGTAGGAAAACAATCCTGAGAGTTTACATATGGTTGACAGGGGAAGGAGGAGACTTATTTACTTCAAAATTCCTAGGGCCACTTTAGAACCAACCCTGTCCCAATGGAAACTTGAAGACCAGAATGGCAGTCTCCAAAAGCAATCCTACCCTTGGGTGGGACAAAAAATTTCAGACTGCTCACGTTACTACATTCTTTGTAATTTTGGAGTTACTCAAGAAGCTCTCTCTGAAAAACAGAATCCTTAGATGGGAGAGGTCAGAACACAAAAAGATGTCCCATCAGAGAAGAAAGAACACAGATCAGATTGCAGAGACATTATATCTTGGCTTCATCAATGGCAATGGCCAAAGGGATGAATGTCTGATGAAGTTCAAACTAGCTTTGATCATCTGGACACAGTGTACAGAGTTCTCTCTGTATAGCTTAGCCAGTTAAGCTGCAACGCTCTTACTGGGAGACAAATACACTCTGCTTCTTTAAAAAGCAGGTATGCCAAATTATGGGCCTGAAAGACATGTCCCATTTTGGAAGGCCTAAATCCCCAAATCCCTTGGAATGTATGCTTTCCCAACTAGTTTCAGAATTTTCAGTAGTTTAAGCAATAACAGGGAGTTTCAGGAAGCAGTGTTTTACAACAAACCCTCCTTTTCTGAGATGGTACCAATCTGGAGGGGCTTCCTGGAAAACTATCCAGTTAAATGACATGGACGTAAAACTATGGGTCCCAGTGGAACCGGCCCCCACTTCCTGAGCAGAGTTTGGTCGGGTTAAAAAGATGGCAAAACAAATGGCTGACAAACACCACAGCTGCTGAGGAAATAACGGAGGCACATTCCTCTTGGTACCAGAAAGTCTTAAAATGGACATCAATGTTCAAGGGGAAGAAAGGAGTCCTGGTTAAGGAAGGAGACCTCCAGTAGGCACAGGCACGGCTGAATTCTTGTTGTAGCCTGCCAAAGCCATAACACTCCTTCCTACTAGCCATTTTATAAAGAAGGCAGTGACAGTACAGGGATGGTCAAGGCTGGCAGCCCAGGCCATGTTCATTCAGTGGTTTCCGAAAGGCCTCACCTGGGGAAGAGCCAAAGCTGAGACAGGCAGCTATTGAAAATTTATTCCAGAAAACCCCAGGGAACAAGGAGTCTGGAATTCCTGGAATAACTCCTAATCCTGGACAAGAGAAAAATGGCCATCGCTGAGGCTTTGGATCAATGGGGGATGATGCAAAGATGCACTGGGAATGGTTACCCCATTTCTTTCCTTTCTCAGCCTGTCCTATGTGGCTCTCTCAGCCCTCGGGGCAGTAACTACACTCTGGGCCAAGGCTACAGGCACAGGATTCTAGATTTTAATAAATAAATAACCTAACACATGGTCTATAGGGTGAGCACGGCAGGCAGCTCTGATTGGAGAAGCAGCTTGTTGGGTCCTTTCCTGTATAGTAGTGGAGAAAAGACTTGGAGTTCTACTCCTTGAAACTTCTTCTGGCTTGAGTTACAGGAACTTAATACCTGGAAGGAAAAATAAAGATGAGACTGTGACGCTATCAGATTGTGGGGATGCTGGGACATGAAGAGCCTACCTAAAGGTGCAATAGGGAAGGTAGGACCTTTTCTGGAATGCATGCTGAGGACAGATAACTGCAGTTCTTTTCACCTTCGTGAAAAAGACCAGCATTTCTCCATAAGGAGAGAAGAATCATAGCCAGAGGATGAAATGCAGAAAGGCAATTCAGGCAGAGGAACGCTATTTAACATTTGGAGAAGGCCTCAAAGAGCCCTTTGGGGATGGCGGTGAGGAGGGTGGGTCTACTGTTCTGAGCTCACGTGAATGTGGTGGTAGGTACAGAGAGCAATTCCAGTGCAGGAGGCTCTTCACTACCCAAGCTTCCAGAGTCCCTCCCTGCTTTCTGGAGAGCCCAAGGCACCTGTAGTAATTAGGCTTGAAAGGCCCATTCTTGTTGAGTCCCAGATACTTGGCCTGTTCATCTGTCAGCTCTGTAAGGTGGGCATCAAAGGTAGGCAGGTGTAGACTCGCCACATACTCATCTGGAAGAGACCACAGAATCCCTGGTATAAGCATTCATGTCCCCTGTCTGACTGCTCTCCTCAGGCCTTAAAAGTTGGGAGACACCTTCTAATCCCTGGAGCTGAATGAAAAATGAAGCTCAAATCTTGCTCACTGGCCCTCAATTCTAAGGAATGGTTGCCTTTAGCTTCAAGCCCAGTGCTTTTCAAAGCCATAACATTTCTTCCTTACTAGCTGTTTCAGTCTTGAACCCTTCCTTCTCCTCAGAGAGGTGAAGGAGAGTTAAAAGAAATAATAGGTTTTAAGGGCTAAAAAAAAGAGGATGGGATGGGATAGGATCTAGAAAATGGGAAACTCAAACTTAAGTTCTGCCTTGAACTCTCTATGCTTTGGATCACTCAGAAAACCTAACACCTAAGAAAATCTGGAACAAATTAATAATGACGCCACACTGTTTGCTTTGCTCTTAGTACCCTTAGGTTCTTATGGGCTTCTGTTTGCATTCTGTTATCTGAATACATGTTAAACCCAAACCCACTGCTGTCAAGTCAATTCCAACTCATGGCAACCCTATAGGACAGAGTAGAACTGCCCCATAGAGTTTCCAAGGCTGTAATCTTTATGGAAGCAAAGCAGACTGTCCCATCTTTCTCCTGTGGAGTGGCTGGTGGGTTCAAACGGCTGACTTTTCAGTTAGCAGCTGAGTGCTTAACCACTGCACCACCAGGGCTCCTTGAATACATGTTACAAATTAATAATTTTATGTCATTTGCTATATATTTGTTTGGTCCCTCCCCCAACTTTATTATACATTCAGTCAGAATATGGACTGTTTTGTTTCTTTGACATCTTTCCTACTGAAGGGGAAATATGTCAACTTCTAACAGTTGCTATGCATCAAGCAAAACAAAACCAGAAGCTGATTTATTCCTTGATCCTTGCCTTGCGAGTTTATAAACACACTGTATCAGTTTAGGTACTTGAGGTAGGTTCTTTAAAAATTTAAGACAGTTAAATGTTTCTCTTATACGAAACACCCACATAACTATGGAAACGCTTAACAGAAGCTATTCAGGGTCTCTCTCTCCTTGAGCCTGAAGCAATGAAGTCAGAGTTAGAGGCTGTAGTGCGAAAAGACTTGCTGGGTCTGAGAAAAGCTTGGTAGAGGCAGCCCAAAACCGAGTAAGTCAGATGTCACAAGTGATTCCTCTTCCTTGGGGTAAGATATTTTTCTCCTTTAAGATTCTTGCATATAAGATACTTTAAGAGAGAAAACCCTTAAAATTCATAGGCTGGTAAATTCAATCACAACAAAATGTTACGACTTTACTGGGGCGTCCCAGGTAGAAAATGTGGTGAATCAACCGCGAATGGAATCTAGGAATCCTAGTTCCTACGTTTACAAGATAAAGACATCCTTTTTTTAATCCATAAGGAATTTAATGCCTCCAAATGTCCTCTGGCCTCTGATTTTGGACTACTTGGCAAGGATGGGGCAGAAATGCATGCTCACCCATTTTCTTGGGCAACAGGTAGACATCCTGCTTATAGCGACCTTCAGGGGCATTGTAGAGCTCAATCAAGGCGAGAGCCTAAAAAAGCAGAAAGATGGATGCTGACAACCTATCTTAGATAAAGTGAAAACCTGGTGGTCAGATGGCACTCTCCAGGCCCACTGCTTCCCACTCCAGAACCTCACCTGAGTCGTAGCCGTGATTGAGAGCACAAATGTAGGCACTGTAGAGCAGCTTAGGTTCAGCAGACGGCCCTGGGAGCAAGGGTTAAGACACAAATGTGTTAGGACAAAGTGTCTGTGGTCTGTGAGGAGAGACGGAAGAGCACAACTGCCACTGTCCAATCACTCCCAATTCACTCTGTGGGACAAAAGCAGGTGTTCAATAAATAGGAATGACTTGACTGGCATTTAAATGAAACCATAAAAAATTCTGGAAATTTTGGTGAAGGTAACAGATAAAAGATCTCTGGAATTATGTAAAAAGGAATAGAGATAGTCACATGTTACTGAGGCTTATGCTGAGGAAGGGTGTATTTCTCTTGAATTTTCTACTCTCTGCAGCAGAATATCTTCCTGAGGCATCAGCATTCAGAAGGATTTTTCTACACAGCAATCTAGTCAAATCCGGGGAGATCTCTTGAAAGGGGAGATCTCTTGAAAGGGGAGATCTCTCTAGGTCAGATTTAGGAAGATGTGATGATTTTGGTTCTTTTTCCTCAGTTTGGTTCTCCTGAATTCAAGGGCAGTCTTGTATACTGAATGGGTGATTCAGAAAGTAGAAGAGCTAACACTTTCCCCAAGGCCACCCTTTCCTACTTTGTTTCCTAGGGGGCTGATCACGTTGTTTTGTTCAACTACAGTAGCCAAGAACAACTGTGATGCTTGCTCTGGTCACCAAAATTATTAGGCATGACTTCCTAAGGCAATTAGAAATAAGTCACCAGGCAGCAGGCTGACATCAGAGCTATGAATGCACAGTTAACAACCTGCTCAACCCCCTACATACACACTCCTGAAGAAATAATTCAGTCCCTTTACAGAGGTCCTAAAGTATTTGAAAAGGTGAGAATGTGAGGAAAAGGTGAAGAGAGGAGTAAGGAAACAAACATAAATTTATGGGCCTCTAGATAAAGACAGACGTCTTTTAGATTTTCATATTCAGCTTCTTTGATTAAAAAAAGAAAAAGAAAAACTGGTTGAAAATCAAAACCAAAGAAAAGGACTATTATCCTCCTTGCATGTTGGTATCTGTGCCTGAAGAGGAACAAGCTTCAAGGGGGCATGATCGTAGCTGTCAAGAATCCAGGACCAGAGAAGAGAAACTTCCAAGAAAGGGAAAGGGGTCAAACACAGACATGCAGGGCTAAATGGAATGAAAGTCAAGAGTAAGTCTAAGCTTAAAGAAGAGGATGGGGAAATATCATTAAGCAGCCCATATAAAGCTGGGTACCTACCACATGTCTGGCTCAATTCAGGAAAACGGACCCTCAAAAACAGGGAATCTAACAGCAAAGACATGACTTTTCCAGAGCTGGCTTAAGACCGTTACAGTCAGGAATATCTACTTTGTGCTTACTGATTAAACCATCCCCCAAATGACATTATCTCTTTGTAACTGTCACTCAAAGTGGCACTGGTTCTATCCGTTAATTCCTTATACAGTAATAGTCATTATCTGACTCAACTTGCAGAGTGACATGGAGAGACAGGATAATTGGTGAACAGTGGGGAACCAAAATAGTTTCTTAATTGCTGAATGAAAAGATATTTCACAAAGAAGTAAAATCCACTGGTAAAGTAGTTAAACTTGTGCTTCAGAGGAATTGGAAGTGTGATATGAGAGAACATGAGGAGGAGGCGACCTCGGTACTGCAACCTCTCTTCAGCCTTTCCTCTCTGGCTGAGTCTCCTCCTGCCCGCCCCAGGTCTTACCTCTGCCAGCAGTACTATCCTCTTGCCATCTGGCCATATTACATGGTCAACTTGGGATCTCACTCGCTCCCAGGTCAGTTCTGGTGTCCGCAGACTTGCCTGGAACACATCAGTAAGCACATCATCAGCGGCAGGTTCCGCCTTGTGTGAGGAAAGATGTTGAAGGGAGCCATTTCAAAGAGCAACTTGAAAGGAGCAACTGACATGCCAGATGGAGAATACCTGTCCTGGGTTGGTTAGGACTGTTCCATTTCAGGGAATTTAATCTTAGGCCCAGCCAGGGAGGGCTCACTCAGGATGTCATTCCACAACATATACTGTACGCCCACTCTCTGCTGAGCACAGTACAAGGTGCTATGGGAAATACAAAAGAAACCAAAGACATGGTTTCTGCCTTCAAAAAGCTCACACTTTAGTTGGGAACACAAAACAATACATATATGGGGTGGGGGCGAGGCTTTCAAAATACTTACAAAGCAACATGCGAACAAGTACAAATTAATACAGTGCAAACTGAATACGTAAGTGCTGAAGACACACAAAAAAAGAAGGATCAGAGCTGAGTGGGATTAGTTCAAGAAGGCTGACTGTCTTAAACATAGCATGCTAGGGCCCAAGGCTCTGCCCTCATGTTCCAACATCCCCATTCCACCTTCTCAATGATGGTGGTTCACCCTAAAGTTAAAGAAGCTTCGTGACCTAAGTGCAAATGTGAGGTAGTCTTTAAAGAAATGCTTAATGGTAGAGTAATGCTCCCAGAGGCTCACCCCCCTTCCATTTCTGTGTATTGTACATTCAGAGGACAAGAGAAGAAATGCTAAGTGTATTAAAGCAGCAATCAGGTAACAGTCAACCGTGTACAGACTTAAGACAACTCCTTCTTCTCATAGGCAATGCCTAAAATAGAAATTCCAAAGCTACCCATTGGCTCAGTTGGTGAAATTGAGAAGGTCTTCTAAGTAGTAGTAGTTTTCAAACAAATGAAGAGTAACACTTTAGTTATATAATAATTATGTATCATTTACTGAGTGATTTACTATAATTCTAGTCATTATAGTAAAGGACACATACAAAAAAGACTGTGGGCTCCTCTACTGGCTGTGAGCTATTTATGGGCAAGGACCTTATCTTCTTTTCATTTTTGTATCTCCAAGGTCTATTTAGCATACAATGGGGTGCTCAATGTTCAGGAACGCATAGTGCTTATCCCAAAGGAAGTAGCAATCTAGTGGGAAAGACAAACGTATAATTATATTTCAGTGAATTCAGGACTGTGGTATTAGTGGTATGGACCATTTCTTTATTAGATAGATGGGAAACATATATAAAATCTTTTGATATACCAAGTTTTATAAACTGGTTCAACTTCCAGAGGGCAACTTGGTAGTAGCTAGCAAAATTTTGTATGTACCTAATCTTTTACCAATAAATTTTACTTTTAAGGCTCTATCATATAGAATACTTGGCTCAAGTTCAAAATATAATTGCCCAAGAATGTTCAATCTAGCATTATCCGTAACAGCAAAAAATGTAAAAATCAACAAGGGAATGGCTAAGTGAATCAGGATAGTTTCTTACAATGGAATATTAGGCAGATTTAAAAAAATGTTTATATTGTCTGAATTTTTAAACTAAGTATATATTACTTTAAATTAGAATTTAAAAAATTTTAAGTAAACAATGTAAATAGATTTAAAAAGGGGTTAAGCAAATGGATGATTTTGGGAGTTAAGGATATATGAAGTGAATCCCTTAGCCTCTGGAAATATCACCATGGAGGGCAACAACCACCTAGAGCCGAGAGCTATTCCTTGGTGACACTGGCATTTTTTTACTTGAGATGACGGCATTTTAAAATATTTTAGGTTCTTAGTATTTCACACCTCTAATCTTCCAGGGACAAGCAATCTTGGAGCTTGGAAGCAAAGATCTTACACAATGATAAGAAGAGTCTACTGTCTTAGGAAGTATTCCTTGGGGGAAAAAGATATGGTGGAATCAAGGAAAGGACACTTCTTATGAACATAATAAAATGATCAATGCTTAGTACAGGCAGTTTAGTAGAGCACTAGAATGGCTACAATGCAAGCAAAAGACCCAAGGGTCAGTTTAAAAAAGGGGTTTGAAGAGAAACTTGCTTACATTATCTCTAGCACTGACTATGGAGGTCCATTTGGCAGGCCACACTGCTCTAGAAAAGGAGTTTCCTTTGGCCAGCACAGCTTTACAAGAATCTCCCTTAAAGACATCCAATTGTCTTTGCTCTGGTTACAATCACCAAGCAATCTACCAGAGGAAGGGCTCCTTTTGCAGACTACCTTCCCAAACTAAGTGTATGTCACACTGTAAATTAGTCAGTTATGACACTTGCAAAAATTGGTCTTATCTGATTTCAAACTGTGCACACCAGTTTCTTCAGGGGAAACGACTGTGGTTCTAGTCTTGAAAAGCATGGTGTCAACAGCAAGTCTCAGGTTAAACCATTACTATATTGTAATTCTTAGGCTGGCAAAAACTTTGAAGGCATATGTACATAATGGTTTAACCACTTGAATTGTGAAGGTTACAGTCACACAGGCCTATCTGATGCATATGGGTAAGTAGGTCTGCTTTCTAGAGAAAAGAAATATGTAAAAGAAAGGCATGGTGAAGGGCAGCTAAGAGCACAATCCCTGTCACAGGTTCCCCCAAGTATTCACAGCACTGATGTTTCCAGATTCTCAGAAAGGAATACGGCTTTCTAAGTGACCGAGTCTTTCTATAAGCTAATCCCTTCTAAAACTGTAGCAGTCAACATCTCAAGATTAGGTAAAACTATAAATTCCTACCAAAAAAACCTTAATTTTTTTTTCCATTATCTGTTTTATTAATTAACTGTCCAACATATCTCTCAACAGTAACTGTTCTTTCATTTTTTGGTTATACACCCTTTGCCTCTTCATATGAGAATGATTCTTTGTATTACTGTAAAAACTCTTAATTTTTTGAGTATTAAAAATACTTGGATAATAAATTACTAAATCATTTGCCTGTAACAGTTTCACTAAGTTGCCTTACAGTGATTCTCCTCTTTCTCACACTCTGCATCCAATCCATTAGCAAATCCCATTGGTTGTCCCTTCACAATACAGCACTTCTTATCACATCCATTGCCTACTCATCTAATCCAAGCTACCACCTTCTCACCTGAAATACTGAAATAGCCTCCTGTTCTCCCGTCACTACTTAAGTTCCAGAAGTGTTTTCTTTATGCAACAGCCAGAGTAATCTTTTAAAACATAAAGTCAGATTTTGTCACCTACCTGTTCAAAACTTTCCAATGGTTTCCCTCATACCCAGAATGAAATCTAAAGTCCTTACAATGGCATACAAGGCTCTACATAACCCACTACCTCCTTGAGCTGTCTCTCATCCTTTACCCCCTTGCTCATTCTGTTCCTGCCACAATGGCCTCTTTCTTGTTCCTTGAACACACCAAGCCTGTTTCCATCTCAGGGTCTTTGTACCCACAGTTCTCTCTGCACAGAACTCAGATGGCTTGCTCTTTCACTTCATTTAAATATTTGTTCAAATGCTTTCTCCTCAAGGAGACCTTCCTGGACCACCCTAATTAAAACAGCATCATCTATTATTCCCTATGTCCTCATCTTGCTCTACTTTTCTTCAGCACTAAGTGACAATATATGTCTATTTATGTTTATTGTCTGTTTCCCTCACTAGAATATAAGCTCCATGACAGCAGAAATGGTGTTCATTTCTATTTCTTCAGTCAAGCAGTACTTGACACAGACTAGAGCAAAATGTAAATCTGCTAAATTCAATACAAATTTGCCAAATAGTGAATGAACACTCTGGTTTCAACTATAGTTGAGTGTGGTATATTTTTAAATTTCATTTTACATGTTCTGTGACACTACTACCGAAGGTTGAGAGAGTAATTTAACTTTTTTCACTGTGGTAAAATATATCACAAAAATTTGCCATGTTAACCATTTTTAAGTGTACAATTCAGTAACACTAATTACACTCACCACATTGTGCTACCATCACCACTGTCAGTATCCAAATTTTTCATCATTCCAAACAGAAATTCAGTACCCTTTAAGCAATAACTCCCAATTCCTCCCTCCCTCCAGCCCTTGGTAACCACTAATAAACTTCTGTCTCTGTGCAGTTGCCTGTTCTAGATGTCTCATATAAATATGATCATATATTTGTCCTTTTGTGCCTGATTCACTCCATTGTATGACACACTACATTTTATGTATTCATCTGTTGATGGATACTTGGGTTGTTTCCACCTTTTGGCTATTGTGACTAATGCTGCAATGAACATTGGTGTACAAGTGTCTGAGTTCCTGCTTTCAAATCTTTGGGTTATATATCTAGGAGTGGAATTGCTGGATAATATGGTGATTCTATGTTTAATTTTTTTTTTTTGAGGAACTGCCAAACTGTTTTCCACAGCAATTGCACCATTTTACATTACCATCAGCAATGGACAAGCATGCCAATTTCTCTACATCTTCACCAACACTTGTTATTTTCCTCTTTTCTGATAATAGCCATCCTAGTGGGCATGAAGTGGTACCTCATTTTGGTTTTAATTTGTATTTCCGTAATGACTAATGGTAAGAGCTCGGCTGCTAACCGAAAGGTCTGCACGTTAGGGCATTTGTACTAGGCTCCTCTCTCTTCTTCAAATGTTCTTCACTTAAAAATCCACATAGCTAATTCCTTCAAGTCTGCTCAAATATCACCTTCTTAATGAGGCTTATCTTGATCCCTCTAAAATTACAACTCAGCCCTCTTAATGCCCCTTACCATGCTTTACTTTTTCTTTTTTCCATGGTGCTTTTGATGCCTAAGCCACTAAAAATTTACTTATTTATTGTGTTATTGTCTTTCTTCTCACTAGAATGTAAGCTCCAAGAGGGCAGGTATCTTTTATCTATTTTGTTCACTGACTCCAAGGACTCTAAGACCAGCACCTGGCATATAGTAATCACACAATAAATATTTCTGACTGAAGGGTAAAGAGTCTCCTGGCCTTTTTCCTGAGAGAATACTTATGTTCTGGGCTGCCTTGGGCAGAGAGATAGGTTTCTCCATCAGTATTTGAAGGTAATCTAGAAACCATGAGGAAGGTAATAGTACAACGTACAGGGGAAGGTGAGGAACTGGATTTGAGTAAAAAAACCTGGATTTTGTGCTCTTAATTTCATTTTTAAATCAATGTATAGGAATGAATAACGTATGTAACTTCTTAGTTTCCCATTTAAAAATTAGGTATTAGAATAAACCCTCATTGGGTAGTCAAAAGGATGAAATGAGATAAAGTAACTTTTTATATACAAAAAATACAAAAGCTACAAGATAGTATTTTGAGTCATTTTTATTTCAGAGCTTCTTAACAGCTCATAGAAAAAACTCCTTCTCCTCCCCTTACTGTGAAGATTTCTCAGCAGGGCCCAAAGCATGACAACTTCCCTTTAAGCTTTTCCCATCTGGGGGCTCTCAAAGCAGATTAATCAAGGAAAGCACAATCATGTACTAGAGACAGTTTTAGGAACATTACTATCTTTGACTATTTAGCAGTACGGCACATAAGTGAAACTTAACCAAAAAATGGACCAGCTAAATTACTCACGGTAAGCAAAATATCATGGTAAGACAGAATAATGGAGCTATGCTACTCAGACACCTCAAGGATAGAAATAGGCTTTGGTAGGTTGTTTTTCCAGCCATTTTAAATAACATAAAAATAGAGCACAGAGTTAAAAACAGAAACCATTTAAAATAGATATTATCCAAAAGGCTTTCAATATATCAGCTGATCCTTACCTGGCAATGCTGAAGCTCAATCAGAGCAGCCCTCAGCGGAGATGAAAGCATGCTTTTCTTGAGCCAGTTACCCACAGAGAAATACAGTTGTGCCAGAAAAATGCCATAAAAACTTAAAACCACAGTGAAAGTCACAATTAGAGATACTTTGGTAAGTCTGAAAGAAATAAATAACACTCCTACGAACCACGGATTGGGCAACTCAGTAGGACCCAGTTTTGCTATGCTGGATTAGAAAATTTTAGTGTGAATTCAATCCAATTAGAGAATGAAAGTGATAGGTTTTCCAGGTTTAAGGATCAAAAGCTATTACACAATGGCACTGCACTGACTGTGACACTTAAGAGACACCCAACTGCTACAGTTTGGAAAATGAGGAGGATGCCTAGCCCAATGAAAGAGGTAGAGAAGAGGAAACTGTGGTATTTGACACACAGTCAATCTTAAGCAATGTTCTCACCCCAGCCCACAACTTTCTTCCCCCTGACTCATCCTTGGCCCAACATACTTATCTCATTTTTATGGTAAAATCAAAACATTCCCCAAATACTGTCTACTATAATGACTCATTTTTGGTAGTTTTGAGTTTATCTAGCTCTCAACCTAAACATACCCTGGCAAGATAAGATGGTTTACAGTGTAAGTAGGTATCAAGCTTGGGTGGAAGAGGACAATCATTTTAAATAACTAAGCTGAGACAAAGTAACTTTATAATAACCACAGGCACAGGCCATAGGGTAGTAAGTGGACATCTCTGTCAGGACAGCCACGTTTAGGGTGGCTGGTGACTCTGCTCTTTCCTCTTCCATTTTATGTTTCTTGGGAAGAAGAGGGAAAAAAAAAAAAGAAACAAAAAAGTTCCAGATAATGAATCACTTGATCTTACCACATCAATCTCTGTGTTGGAATGTCCCATGTTACAAACGATGCAGCTATTCTTCATACGGTCCAAGTGCTCTCTGGTTACCACATTCTTATTACCTTAAAAACAGAAGCGATTTTGTACGTACACAAAAGAATGAAGTTGGACCCCTACATCACACCATACACAATTAACTAAAAATGGATCACAGACCTAAATGTAGGAGCTAAAACTGTAAAACCCTTAGAAGAAAACATAGGTGTAGATCTTTGTGACCCGTGGTTAGGCAATGGTTTCTTAAGACATGACACCTAGAACACAAGCCAGCTCCAAAACCAAACTTGTTGCCATTGTGTCGATTCCAACTCATAGCAACCCTACAGGACACTGTAGAACTGCCCCATAGGGTTTCCAAGGCTGTAAACTTTATAGGAGCTGACCGCCACATCTAGCTCCCACAGACAGGCTGGTGGGTTTGAACAGCTGACCTTTCGGTTAGCAGCTGAGTGCTTAACCACTGTGCCACCAGGGCTCCTTAAAGCACAAGCAATTGAAGAAAAACAGATAAACTGAATTACATCAAAATTAAAATACTTTCTGTTGCAAATGATACCACCAAGAAAGTGAAAAGACAACCTACAGAATGGGAGAAAATATTGGCAAATCATACATCTGATAAGGGACTTGCATGCAGAATATATAAAGAACTCTTACAACTCAATAATAAAAAGACAAATAACCCAATTAGAAACTGGGCAAAGGAGAAATGTATATTTCTCCAAAGAAGATATACGACTGACCAATAAGCGTATGAAAAAATGTTTAACATCACTAGTCATTAGGGAAACGCAAATCAAAACTACAATGAGATACCACTTTACACCCACTAAGATGGCTATAACCAAAAAAGATAGACAATAACAAGTGTTGGCGAGGATGTGGAGAAATCAGAGCCCTCATACACTACTAGGAGATAGTAAAGTGGTGCAGTCACTTTGAAAAACAGTTTAGCAATTCCTCAAAATGTTTAAAAAGTAGTGCTACCACTTGACTCAGCAATTCCACTCCTCGATATATACCCAAGTGTCATGGATTGAATTGTGTCCCCCCAAAATATCTGTCAACTTGGCTAGGTCATGATTCCCAGTATGTATGTGTCTACCATTCTGTCATCTGATGTGATTTCTCTACGTGTTGTAAATCCTACCACTATGATGTAATGAGATGGATTAGTGGCAGTTATATTGATGAGATCTACAAGATTAGACGGTGTCTTAAACCAATCTCTTTTTGAGATATAAAAGACAGAAGCAAGCAGAGACACGGGACCTTATACCACCAAGAAAGCAGTGCTGGGAACAGAGCGCGTCCTTTGGACCTGAGGTTCCTGCGCTGCGATGCTCCCAGACCAAAGGAAGACTGATGTATCTCAACGACCTTCCTCCAGAGCCGACAGAGAGAAAGCCTTCCCCTGGAGCTGGTGCCCTGAATTCGGACTACTAGCCTACTGGGCTGTGAGAGAATAAACTTCTCTTTGTTAAAGCCATCCACTTGTAGTATTTCTGTTACAGCAGCACTAGATGACTAAGACACCAAGAGAACTGAAAATATATGTTCACATAAAAACTTGTACACGAATATTCAAAGCAGCATTATATATAACAGGGAAAAATGAAAACAATCCAAATAACCATCAACTGATAACTGGATAAATAAAATGTGGTAGATCCATACAGCGGAATATTATTCAGTCATAAGAGGGTAAGAAGTACTGATTCGTGCTACAACATAAATGAATCTTGAAAACATATGCTAAGTAAAGAAGCCAGTCACAAAAGACCACATATCGAAATGCTCAGAATAGGAAAATCTAGAGACAAGAAAGCAGATTAGTGGTTGCCAGGGGCTGGGGGAGGGTTGAAGACTGAATGAGCAGTGACTGCTAATGGAGTGGAGTTTCCTCTTGGGGTGGTGAAAATGTTCTGGAGTTAGATAGTGGTGATGGTTGTACTGCTTTACCTTTAAACGGGTGAATTTTACCGTGTGTGAATTACATCTCAATAAAGCTATTTAAAAAAAAAAAGAAATGGTGATGGTTGCACAACATGGTCAATGTAATTAATACCACTGAATTGTAAACCTAAAAATGGTTAAAATGGCAGATTTTTCCTGTCCCACTTTCTCTAACTATGAAGAATTTTGCTCTAGCTTAACCTTGATTAAGGAGCCCTAGTGGCACAGTGGTTAAGAGCTCAGCTGCTAACCAGAAGGTCGCTGCTCCTTGGAAACTCTATGGGGCAGTTCTACTCTGTCCTGTAGGGTCACTATGAGTTGGAATCAATTCAACAGCAATGGGTTTTTGGTTTTGGAGCCTTGGTTACAGAGAGAGACTAGAGAAGAAACATGCTCGATCACTTTTGGAGGTAAAATATCAAATGCACAAATTTAAGATCCGGCTTCCCATATAAAACTCTGCAAACGGATCTCATCTCTGCCCATCTCATAGGTAGCTGAGGATGGATGGAAATACAGAATAGTTATAAGGAGTGGAGAGAAACTTTCCTACAGGGATGACCTAATGGTAGATTTTTGGTTGATGCTCTGAAGAGGTAGGAAGAATGTGAAAGATTGACTGGTTTTATGGACTGCTATCTCCGGCTCCTAAGAGTGTGGTTTTGTTGAGAACATTTCCAGTCATTTTGCACTTGCTGCATGAAAGTGTTCCCAAGTGCTACCCATTTTATCTGTCATAATCATACCTGTACAGGTAATAACAATGTCCACTTGTCGGATGACCTCAGTTAATTTCACCAGTCGAAACCCATCCATGCTGAAAAAATAAAGCACAATCAATTAACCTAAATAGGCAGCTGCGGAGCCTTTTACCACAGAACTTCAAAAGTTATTATCAAGTCCCTTTGGTACTTACATTGTCATTTCTTGATACAGCTAAACTATTCTTAGCAGTGAAAACTCCAAACCATTTACTCAGTTCATATAGGACAGAAATAAAAGGTTCTTTCGCATTACTGGAATTTATTTCTTCCTGATAATAGGGAGCCAGGGGTTACCATGAAATACCCAAATCGACTTTCTAGAAGTACCACTTAGCCACTACATTCAGTTCGGTTCTTGCCACTTCCTTGCTTAAAATACTTGAGTTAGACTGCCCACTGTTCTTAGGGTGAGATCCAAATACTCATATTGACATATATGCAACGCCTTTCATGATTCCTATGATTCCTACCTCAGATATCACCACTCCCCCAAATTTATCCTATCTGCCAGCTACATTAAAATACTAGCTCAGCTTCATAAACATGCCATGCACTCTCCTTCCTCTGTGACTACGCACATATTCTCTCTGCCTAGAATATATTTCCAAACTAAGAAAACACACAAATTTCAAGACTGAGCTCCACTGACAACTCTTCCTACCTGGCCTCCTTGCTCCTCAGTTAGATATTTCTCCTCTGTGTTCCAGCAGAAGCATGTGCTGCTTACTGCCATCACAGCTCTCACTACTCTGCACAGTGGTTATTGCCCCCTGTGCTTTGAAAAGCTGGGGCCTTATCTTATTCATCCTCAGCACATAGCACAGTGCCTAATACAAAGTGACTGACTGATCATGTCTGTACGATAATTTGAACAGTATCTAAATCAGTACTTACTTTGAACACTATTAAGCATGTTCAGGTTTCTATAATGAACCCCTACAGTACTTGAAGGGGGACAGTTCCTGTGTGTGTTGGAGCCCTGACTCAGAAAAAGCCAACAACTCTGCTGGGGAAAGCTGTGGGTTTATGGCTAAGATGTGTGGGGAGTGGTAGGACAGGGCAAAAGGGTTATCGTCAAATCTTTATGCCACTTTATTCTATCTGGCATGGATTGGGGGTGTCATCCAGGCTACAGATATTGGGACTCTGCAACAGTTTTCAGAGACAGTGGTATTTCTTATCCTGCAGAGAAGGGCAAGAGACAATTTCAGTAATTGCTCCATTTAGTGAGCGTCTATGATGTGACAACAGCTCTGCACTTTATATAATTACTACATAATGCATAACAATTTATAATAATTATATAGTGATTTTACTGAACTTTCAGAGCTCTGAGGTAGGTATGATTACCCACATTTTACAGATGAGAAACACAAGGTTTAGAGAAGTTAAAGCGCTCGGCCAGGTTTCTCTGACATGCTGCACTTCCTCTCAAAAAAGCAGCAGTGCAGACAGAAAAGCCTAAATGAGCTCTGCACTCAGTGGAGTAGACATGTTAACAGGAACTACTCTTTTTTAACTTTTAATCTTGGAGTCATTTCAAACTTAAGAATCGTAAGAATAGTACAAAGAACTCCCATATACCCTTCAGTCAGATTTATCAGACTTCACCCTTAGTTTGGATTGTCGGATGTGTCCGTATGGTTAGATTTCGGCATTTTGGGGAGGAATAGCACTGAAGTGTTCTTTCTGATGCATCACCTCTGAAAGCGTTTGACACCAGCCTATTTTTTTGTGACCATTGTCTTCAAAAGGGCCATGATTCCACACGGAGAAGGTAAGGGGCTACTTGCTCTCTGGCTCAAGGCCTCTGTGTTCCTATTGCCACAGGAATTCTACATTTTACCTTCTCTCAGAGCAGAGCTCCTTCCTCTTTGAAAGACAGGAGCATGCAGTTATTGGCAGCCTCTCTCAGGGTCTGGGCTCCTCTAGGACAAGACGCAGCACCACCCAGGGCATTCTCCGGAGGCAGCTCCAGGGTGACATGCTAGGTGGTAGGGTAGAGGAGGACCGCATCTCCCCGCGTGCTTACCAGGCTTGCAGGGCACAGATGGGGTCAATCTCAGTGACGTACACAACGGAGCCCATGGCTTTCAGAGCAGCACAGCACCCCTTCCCCACCTGTTGAGGGGAGAAAACACACAGCAGAAGGGAAGTCAACGAGAAAACAGTTTCTCAAAGCTTCTGGTAAAGCGTACCCACCACCCGCCCCCAAAGGAATTTCGCTGAATAGATTCATGCTTGGGGAAAAGAAGAAAAACAAATGACTGCAGTTCATAAACAAACCCCTGGCCCCTGATTAGCACATGCGTGCGCACAAGAACACCCACACTCACGATTTATAATCAAAACACAAGCTAAAAGAACATCACAAGTGGCACTGGAACAAGTCAGAAAATCAACTTAAGGAAAAATGGTAAAAATACAAAGGGAAAAAGAAAGACTGTACTTTAACCAGAGGGCCTCTACGTTTTCCCATCTAAAGTGGTAAATAAAAGTACTCTTATAGAAAGGGAAAATCCTAGTATGTGTCAGCAAAATACATTTTAATCGCCTAAGTGAAAGGTTAAACTTTACCTCTCCATAGCCACAGACCACCACTTGCTTTCCACCGAACATCATGTCTGTGGTCCTTTTAAGTCTAGGGGAGAAAAACATTAAATCAGAAAAACCTTCTCCATTCCTCCCTTGAGTCTAGACTGGGTTCCTTTGTTTTCATGGGTTTTTTCCATTTTGAAAGAAAGTCTCATTTTTAATGAAGTCCAACTTAATCAAGTTTTTCTTTCATGGATTGTGCTTTTGGTGTATCTAAAAAGTCATTGCCAAATCCAAGGTCATTCAGCTTTTCTCCTATGTGATCTTCTGTAAGTTATACAGTTTTGCATCTTACATTTAGGTCTATAATCCATTTTGAGTTAATATTTGTGAAAGATGTAAGCTCTGTGCCTACATTCAGTTATTTTGCATGTGGACGTCCAGTTGTTCCAGTATCATTTGTTGAAAAGACTATTCTTTCTTCATTGAATTGCCTTTGCTCCTTTGTCAAAGATCAGTTGACTATATTTGTGTGGGTCTATTTCTGGGCTCTCTATTCTGCTCCACTGATCTGTTTGTCTATTAATTGGAAAGTTTTTCACCATCTAACAGTACCAGTGAGCCCTTACCTACTCAACAGGTTTCTGGTAGGTAGCTGGTCTTTTCCTATTTCTTCATTGTTGAAATCTAACCTTAGCCCCTGGTTCCATTGCTTCTGTCTTACTCTCAGTTTTACACTTCTCTAATATTAAAGAATCTTTCTTACATGGAGAGTAAATTCTGCTTAGGAGGGACTCTGTCCATCTTTATAAACCTAGCACAGACACCTTTATGCATCTTTTACTGAACCTAGAATACACAGATTTTAGGCTCACAGATTAGAGATATGAAAAATCTAAAAGACATTCAGTTGTTGATAAGTAAATATTTTAATGAAAATATACGGGGATTACTATTGATTTTATCAGGCTCAAAGCTATTCATCACATTAACACTTACATGTGGAGAGAACTAGCGACAGTCCATAGACAGACTGATGGACTGGGAATTCATTTAAATGTCCAGTCTACCTGATAATGAAGAACTGATTCCTTTAAATTATGGTGTTGGCAAAGTATATTGAATATACCTTGGACTGCCAGAAGAATTAACAAATCTGTCTTGGAAGAAATACAGCCAGAATGCTCCTTAGAAGCAAGGACGGCTAGACTTCATTTCACATACTTTGGACAAGTTATCAGGAGGGACCCGTCCCTGCAGAAGGACATCGTGCTTGGTAAGGTAGAGGGTCAGAAAAAAAAAGGAAGGCCCTCAACAAGATGGATTGACACAGTGACCGCAACAATGGGCTCAAACATAGCAACGATTGTGAGGACAGTGCAGGACCGGGCAGTGTTTCATTCTACTGTACACGGGGTTGCTAGGGGTCAGAACCGACTCGACCTCACCTAACAACAAAATCCTGATAATACTATTGACTCTAAAGCAGTAATAGTTAACAAAAGTTAGAATCTTCAATCAACATTTTCCAAGTTAAAAAGATTTCAAAGCAAGAAGCTTCCCCTAACTTCTAACTCAACCCTATAGCTTACTGTACAGGGTTCTACAAAGAAGGCAAGGGAACTAACATTGAGCAACGGGATACATATGCTTTATTTAATTTAATCCTCATAACAACTCTATGAAGTAGGTCTTTATCACACTGTACAGATGAGGAAATAGGCACAGAGAGGTTAAATAATTAGTCTAAGGTCTTATAGTTAATAAATGATAGAGCCAGTACTCTAGGTCTTTCTGGCTCCACAGCCTGTGATATTGCCACTCAGTATAATGCCTGGGGTCCAGACTGGTTGGTACTGTGGCCCATAGGCCTTTTCTTCACTTTTTCATTAACCTATACATGAAGGAAACCATTTGGCAAAAAGCAATGTTCTAAACAAACTTAATGGCTTCCTATAGGGAATTACTGAGTCCTTCTAGCAAGAAATGAAGGACTGTCAGGACACAAGTATGGGAACAAAAAGTGGGTTTTGGAAGAACACAGTATAAGGTATATACCCAAGTAGATTTTGTCAGATTGGCAGTTCTTACAGATTTGAAAAATCAGAAATGCCTCTTGGAATTGACTGCCTACCACAAATTTCCAGATGGCCAGAGAATTATATAATACTTGCAGCTCAAGAACTGGCCACATGACCTGGAATAGGAGCACCAGGAACCTTTATCCAAACCACCAAAGTATTTGTTTATATGGACTTTAATTACTGACCTGCAGCTCTGACAGAGTCACAAAGTAAGCACTCTGCCCACCAAGAGAGAGGAGTTAAGTCCGATTTCTTGAGTGAAACAGATTTGCCTATAATTGTGATTGCGATGGTAGCTCTGAGTTATAAAATATTAGGTGTGATGTGGTGATAGACCCAACTCAACAATCAAGTCCACCCCAAAGATAACAAAACATACCCATCAAGAATTGATTCACGGCAACAGTAGAGGTTGTCAAATTTTTGTTTGGTGACTGAGTCATTGACATTCATGGCTGGAACACATAGCTTCCCTGCCTTGGACAGCTGGTACAGCCTGAGGATGAGGGAAACCAAGAACGTACGACAGTAAGATACTGCAGTTTATATCAAATCACAGAAATATGTTGGTTTGGCATGAGCACACAAGGCATGAGATAGGACTAGTCTTGTCCTGTTATGTGAATATAGAGAAATAACGACTATCTTTCTAGAACCTGTATACAGCTTAGAAATAAAGATCTTAATCAAAAGGCATGCAGAGAAAATCGCTGACCCACCCTTAATATTTAAGGACTTACATGTAAATTTTAAATTGCATCAGATTGATTCCTTCTTTTAATTATAAAAAGAGTAACTTTAAGTACTATTTAAAAATTCATGTATAATCTCACCACTCACAACAATTTTTAATTTTCGAATAGCTTCAATTCTATAATCTCAATACACACACACGTAAATATGCATAACCATTTGGAAGATTCTATATAGTACTCTTATTTATACACTTTGATGGCTGAATAAGATGACATTACAGTTTCTTTAACTTCTTCTATGGAAGAACCAGTACATTATTTTCTCCTTCCCTCTTTTGCTATTATATATAACACTGCAACAAACAGATTCATGCTATAGCTTTGTTTGTCATTTGCTTTTTTTTTTCTAGGATACACGTCCAAGAATGGGATTATAGGGCCAAAGCATACAAACAATGTGATTCAACTTATAATACTGTTCATTAATTTATTGAACTAAAATTTACTGAAAATGTACTATGTGCATTGTGCCAGGATTAATACGATGAAAAGGACAGATACAGTCCTTGGCCTTACAGAGCTATAGTCAAAAGTGTTTCTCAACCAGGAAGCACTGGAATTTAGGATGGTGCAATTATTGGTTGTGTAGAATGAGTCTAGCACTATAAAACATTTACCAATCCTGGCCCCAAAGAGTAAATGCTAATAGCGCTGTCTAGTAATTGTGATCATCAAAAACCCTCCACACATTTCCATTTCCAAATGCCCTCTTTGAAGCAGGGGTTCCACCCTAAGTTGAGAACTACTACAGTACCAGCAATACAGCAGAATATTAGTTTTACCTCCACCTTGCCAGAACTAGGTATTAAAATTCTTTTTCCAACTCAAGTGTAAAATGCTATGTCAAGACTAATTTAAATTACATTTCTAGGGTACTTTTAAGACATTATCTGATAAATCAGGACATTTCTACTAAGTTAGTGGATGAAAGAACTGTGGGAATCCAGACTGAAAAAGAAGTTTTAAGGAACAAACTGAGTCAACCAAAAATCACAACTACGTGTTTTATTCAAAGTCCATCCCTTTCTAAGAGTCTGAAGGTATGGTATAACCCATAGTTTTGTATATTCAAAGATCACAATATACTTAAGTAGTGATAGTGACTTATTTAGAATTTACTTCTCTGAAACTTTTATACTTTTAGTGCCTTATGGGTAAAAAAAGAGTAAACAGAAACAATTCCAGTTTGCTCATTTGAGAAACAGAAGCCAAGTCCTTGCTGTCTATGTACTGTGAGCCCTATGAGGACTCAGGCTTCTGTCTGTTTGGTCCACTACAATCCCTAGCATCCAGGGCAGTTCCTGCTCGTTGCAGATGTTCAATATACAGTGACTGAATAAACGAATTAGTCCAAAAAGGACAAGCAGTCACTGCATTACAACAACTAGAAAACATGAGAACTTGTTATCTCCCTGACCTTCTGTTTATCTGTGTTGTTAATTAAAAGAAAAAGAAAAGTGTGCAGATTCAGATCTGGTCTCATCATAGCAGGTTTCAATTCTTAACATCATGTGTTCTATGGGTATGTGATTATAAGAATATATGTCTAGGATGCACAAAACCAGGTATGACCATGTCAAATCTTACCTATGGACTCCAGTAACGCTCTCCTCTACTATGCCCTTGATTTTCTTAAACATATTGGGGTACTTCTTGTAAATCCAGTGAGTAAGGTCCCCTCCATCATCCAAGATCTGTAATAATAATCATCAATAAAGTCACTCCTTTTGCTGGAGGCTCAAAGCTCTCACTGCATCTCTGGGTCTTGTGTCTCAACGTCTTATGACCAACAGACGGACATTCAAATTTCGTTTACGGTTATATTAACTTAAAGCCAGAATGAACACAATAATCTACCAAACAGTCATTATTCTGAAATAAAAGACAATGAGGGGTGACAGGCCAGTTAGAATTCTCACAGCCAAATACACTTCCCACATGACACATACATCAAAATACACAGCAACCTAACTGAGGGATTTCTTTTGGATAAACGCTTAAATGGTTGTCTAGACCATGAGTGTGAATGTACTATAGATATTCAGAAAGCCTAAACTGGATATTACCAGACTTCTATTGTTTTAATTCCGGACTTTAAATATCTTCAGTCAAAGCTTAGTTTAAACAAAGGGTCAGGTAATTAGTGTCCCTCCCAGAAAAATGGTTTATAAAACTGTATTCGTTAATTCTTTACTTCTCCCAAAGTACAGACACTCTCCTACCCAATATGTCAGGCAGCACTGTAGGATTCTGCCTGGCTCCACCTCACACACTGTATAAACCAAATTAAAAATAACTGGGAAACTGCAGCATGTAGGTGTGCCAGCATGCCTCTGAGCAGCTCATCACTATTTCAGGTTAGGATTAAAGATAAACACAATGCAGTACTCACTGGAGCCTTCAGTATCAGAAGGAAGCTTCTGAATTATAAATGAGCTAAAGAAAGGCCAACTTGGAACACTCTCAGGCACTCAGGGCTGTGGCACTTCAGCCCTTCCCCTGGCTGATAGAAGCGCTTAGGAGGACTTTCTAAATTGTCACCCATGATCCTGAGAAGTCTCCACAGAGCTGAGTTGCCCTCTGCTGGCATGCATCCATTTTGCAGTCCCATCAATTATCAACTCCACTTTAAGTGCCAAAAATGCCACCCTGGACCCCAGGGTACACAAAATCCCCAACCTTATGTCTACCACCTGATCTCTTTCTTTTTTCTGCTCCTGCTGTGTGATCTGTTTTCTCCGGCTCAGCTAAACCTTCCTGAAAGCAGGGGTCCAAGGCTGGCCTCTCATGAAAACTCTTACACTTGCTCTGTAAGTTAGTAGCTCTATTTTCCCAGTAGAAACCCTCAGAACAGATGCCCAAGGAGACCAAAAGCTCTTTTTGGTTTCCCTCTCCCTTTCTGCGTGTATGGAATCTCTCATGAAGTTTTCTTTGCAGCTCTGATTCCTAGCAATAAAAGAGATCAGAGACAAAATCAGGCTGAACAAGTGAAAACTCTTGTCCACTTTTCCATTTTAATGAAGGTACCTAATAGAGGCAGGTAGGTGCCGTCTCTAATATTTACTGAGTAAGTGCAGCCCGTAATTCTCACCATGTAATGCTACTGCAGAAAATTCGAGTCACCAGGGATCTTCCTGAGGTTAGAACGCAAAGCAAAGTACCAGATCTTGACAAGGTCCAAAGAAGTACAGGTCCTGTTTTCTGGGGTGACATTTTTTTGGTCCTTGTTTTCCTCTCTTCATTTACCTTCCTAGTAGTTTGTGCTGGCTCCATCATTTGCAAAAGCACTCTGGGTACAATTCCATGTCCTCCTCATGCTCATAACTGTAAAATTAATGTTTTCACCCAAGGAAAAACCCCTTGGCATATCATCTTTAGTGTCTGTCAGTCACAATCCTTCCTGTCACTGTCAAACCTTGTTTAGAATGAGCTGACTCATCTTAAATCCACCGTCACCCATTCCCCTCCCCTTTTAGGATATGAAGGCCTGGATCACAGAACCCAGGAAGAAGCTGCCTCTCTCCACTGCGTACCACGTGAGGCCTGCTCTGCAGTCTTTAACAGCAAGCAGCGGTTGGAAGAGAGCTTCAAGGGTTTCGTTTTCAGTTGATTCCCTAATTCTTCCTCTTACTAATATACAGAAATGTTTGCAAAGGAGGAGTGCTACATACTTTGGGCAGCTTTTTGCCTCTCTTTGGGAATCTAATGTGCTATTGGCTTTAAAAGAACTGAGTATTTTAAAAAACGGAAACAAAAATAAAAACAAAGCAAAAGTGAAAAACCCAAAACTGCCTGGCCATTTTTTAAGGTGGTAGATGAATAAAGAGAAGAAATTTAAACTTGGAATCTCTAGGTTTTTTTTTTTTTGGAGGGCAGGGGCAGTGGTATGGGATGGAAACTCACTATCCTCACATTTTAACCAGACATGTGTGAACCCTGAGTAGGATTTTAATGTTACTGATGAATATGAATGCCTCCAAGATCAGCAATTAAGGCACTTTAAAGCTATAAAGAGGTTCAATTCTCTTGGGGTACCCTAAGCATAAGCATCTAGTTCTGCTGGAAGCCCAAGTACCTCAGATAGCTCAGATAGAAAAAGGGCTGTTTTCCTTCCTTCTGGTTGGGACACCCTCTCCCAGGCCACGGCCTCCCCGCACCTCCAAAACCCAATGGAACTGTGTTAGTAGAAACCTGACCCACCATGTTTGGTTGCCAGCCCTCCACATTCACACATCTATCGATGCACCACCAAAAGTCATCTTCTGACTCTCCCTTCCAGGCAAAGACAGGAAATCCTGAGAAGGAACAAAGAAAAACCATTAAGACCTGAAAAAAGGACTAGTCCCAAACGTTGGCAGTAGGACGCTGGCTTTCCCCAATTCTAAACTCTCTCAGTCTGCTGTGCTCCTTGGATTAACTTTCTTCACCGATTAGCACTGCCTTCAGCCCTTTCATCTATTCCTTTGTCTCTGGTGGTCACTGTATTCTTGTTAGCCCAAAGGAGACAGTCAAAAGGGACAAGAATATGATGGGTGTTCAAAACATGACTAAAGAGGAAAAAGAAATCAGAAATAAATACTTCCTGACCTAGTCAAACTAGAATTCTCACCATTTCCCTTTAATTTTCCCAGCTTCTATACTTAGTTCTCCCATCTTCTTCACCAGGAACACCCTTACACTCTTCTCCATCTGTTAAAATGTTCCTGAACTTCATGGCCCAGTTCAAGTGTCACACTTGTAATGAAGCCCGATTAATAAGCCGGTTGGAAGTGATCTCTCAAGGAATCGGAACTTTTAGAAGCCACTAGTTTGTGTACTGAACATGAATTTATGATCTTCTGTGGCATTTATGATACATGTCCTTGTACTGTCATTATTTATTTATGTGTCTTACCTCCACAATATCAGATTCTGAGGGCAAAGATATTGTCTCATTTGCCCTAATATCTCTTAGAGTAGGTCAGTAAACATTTGTTAAAAAAAAAATGTGCGTGTACAATTCATCAGGCTGTACATTTAGTATCTGTTCAATTTTCTAAACACATTTCATACATCAATAAACATTTTTAAAATGAATGTAAATGAAGAGGTGACACGTGTGAGTGCTAACAGAAGGACATGCACGCACTACAGGGCATCCCTGGCCCTCCTCAAGAGCCCTGACGCAAGCGTTCGTACCCTCATCTGTCTGTGCTGCCAGAGAGAGGGCGAGACGCTGGCAGAGTCCAAGTTTCTCTACTCTCTTGTCCTTGGAATTCTAAGTTTTTTGCGCTGATCAAATATTAATCTGCCAGGTCAAGTCCTCTCTACTGTTGAGGCAAAAACACCAAACACTGAATCAGGGCAAACAGCCTGCCAGAAAACCAGCAGGGCCACAAAGCTATGCCTGCAGCATTTTCTTCTCTAGCCTGTATTACCTCGGACAGTGAGGCGTGTACCATGGCGCTCTAATGTTAGCGAGCCCAGGCAATGCATTAACTAATAGTGGAATATCAGACACAGGTAGATATTTGCCAACTGTACAACAACAAAGTTAACTAGATCACATTTGACTAGAGAAGCCCAGAAGAGAGCAAACTCACCAAAAATAGGGAATCATTTCTTCCAAGATAGCTTTTACTGTCAACCTTCCTTAAAGATTTTATATTGAAACAGTGGAGTTTTCAGAGAGTTACTTTAGCCAAAAGACAGAGACCAGGCCAAAGAGCTTACCACTTTCTGCTAGAGCAGCAGCCACTTCATTAAGAGTGGAATAGATGTTGCAGGCAGCCCAGCGGCACTGTGCCCCCAGAGCACCCAGAGTTTCCATAAGCACCTGTATTAAAGAGAAAGCAGGAAATGAGCAAGCCTACGCCAAACAACGGGTCAAGGAGATTCAGTTTACATATTCAAAAATCTTTGGCGATGAGAAAGCACATCAGGAGTAACTTAGGCCAGTGGTTTTCAAACTGCTCTGAAGAACCTCTTCAGTATCTGGGAAGAAGACAAAGGTTGGGGCCAGGCATGGGGGGCAGGTTCCAGCTGAGCTCTACCTTTTCACCGAGTTAACATATTGGGCCTACCCAAAAGATTTAATTAAACCACAGATGTCTCAGCTAAAATATTTTTTAAAACTGCTGGTTTACAGTTCTGTTTCTGCCTAGAATGTAGAAAGCTGCAAGAGAAGCTCCCGTCCAAACAAGAGAAAGCTGGATAATCTACATAATCATTACTTTTCTTTTCTATTATTATTTTTTTATTGTGCTTTAGGTGAAGGTTTACGGAGCAAACTAGTTTCTCATTAAACAATTAACACATATTGTTTTGTGACATTGGTTGTCAACCCCACGACTTGTAAACATTCTTCCCTTCTCAATCTTGGGTTCCCCATTTCCATTCATCCAGCTTTCCTGTCCCCTCTTGCCTTCTCGTCCTTGCCCCTGAGCTGGTGTGCTCACTTAATCTCGTATACACGATTGAGCTACGTGTATTACTGTTTGTTTTACAGGCCTGTCTAATCTTTGGCTGAAGGGTGAACCTCAGGAGTGATTTCAGTACTGAGCTAAAAGGGTGCCTGAGTGCCATATTCTCAGGGTTTCTCCAGTCTCTATCAGACCAGTAAGTCTCGTCTTCTTTTATGAGTTTGAATTTTGTTGTACATTTTTCTCCAGCTCTGTCCGGGACCCTCTATTGTGATCCTTGTCAGAGCACTAAGTGGTGGTAGCAGCCAGGCACCATCTAGTTGTGCAGGACTCAGTCTGGTGGAGGCTTTGTGATCCATTAAAAATCATCATTTTTCTTGAGCTCATTGAAGATCTGAGGTTGTAAAGCAACGAAGTGAACTGAACTCCAAAGAACAACAAGTCCCTTTCTGGACAGAGGGGACACTGTTTCACCTTTGGCAGAGCACGAGAAGAAGTGGCTGTCATACAAGAGGGTAAGAAAGACGGAGTTGAAATTTTAACTAATTCCTAAAGGCTGAATGTGAGAAAGTGAGTCTGTTTGGAATTCCTGGGAGCCCCAGGCACAAGGAAACTTCACACTCAATTGCGGCACTTTTTTCTGGGGCCTCCACCTGGTACTCCCAAGAAAGACTGGGGGCAGGGCAGGACCCCAGAAAGAGCCTCCCTCAACATGAACTGATTGGCTGCACTGGGACACAGGCATGAAACCTGTGGATTTACCCACACCCTTTCCTCATAGAAAGTAAAAACTTCAAATTATAGGGAGAAGAAGCAGGAATTGCTGTAGAGAAGTCTGGCGGTTCCTCAAGAAGTTAAACACATAATTACCATATGAGCCAACATTTCCACTTGTAAGTGTATACCCAAAAGACTTGAAAACAGGGACTCAGATATACGTACACCAATGTTCACTGCAGCATTATTCACAGTAGCCAAGAGATGAAAACAACTCAAGTGGCCATCAATAGATGAATGGATAAACAGGCTGTCGTACATACATACAATGGGATATTATTCAGCCATAAAGAGAAATGAAGCTCTGATACATGCTATGATGTGGGTGAACCTTGAAAACATTACGCTGAGTAAAGTAAGTCAGACACAAAAGGACAAATATTGTATGATCCTACTTTGTTTGAAACATCTAGAATAGCCAAATGGATAGAGACAAAAGTTTGTTAGTGGTTACCAGGGACTAGGGGAGGGAGGAATGGTTAGTTATTGTTTAAGGGGTACGGAGCTTGTTCAAGATGATGAAAAACTTTGGAAACAGACAGTGGTGATGACTGCACAACATGGTAAATATAATTAATGTCATTAAACTGTACACTTAAAAATGGATAAAATGGCAAGTTTTTGTTATATATATTTTACAACAATAAAAATTTTTAAAAAATGCTTGCTTACTAACAGTGATTTACTAACAGTGGTAATCTCTGTGCACCGGTAATTTTCATTTTTTTAAATCTATATTTTCTAACATTTCTACAGCAAATAAAAAATTATATAACATATATACGGTCTAGCTTAAAAACAAAACAAAAAAACAAGAACACTTACAATAAGTCCACTGATTTAGGCTAATCAAGAAATTTGTCCAAGGTCACATAGTGAGTTAATGGTAGAACTACTCACATGTCTTAATTTCTAGGCCACACTCTTTTAATATCTGGTCCCATTTTTTCCCTTCTGTTTTACTTTTCACCTTAAAGAATTTCTGAATTCCTATAACTAGGATTTCTGAATTTGTTAAACAAAAGAATGATACCAAGACTAAGCAATATAAATTAATCCAGAAAAGCGACTGAGACCAAGAATATAAGAACCCTTCGGAGAACTATGAGTTAAGCCTGCTGGCTCTTAGGGCTCAAACAGGAGTGAAGGCAGCTTGGAGACGGAGGAGGACACAGCTTGAAAGCTGGTTTAAACTGACTTCAAATCATCACCACTTAGCAGGAGTAGCCATGGAATTTGGTTAGAATGAACTATGGATGTATACCTAAAAAATATAGATCCAAGTTTATTAGACATATGGAAAGAAGATCATTAACTATGATGGTTATTTCTGGAACAGGGGGTTACAGGAGACTTTGTCCTTCCTACATTATATATTATGATAATGTTTGAATATTGTAAAATGAACATGAATTCCTTTTGTAATCAGAGAAACAAAATAGAGATTCAAAACAAAACAAAAGAAAGCAAAACCCCTTTGTAATTATTTTTTAAAAAGGAAAAAGAAAAAATGTGGGGTGGGGATAATAAAATAAAATTAAAATTGATAAACTAATTTTGATTAATCCCTTCAGGAAAAGATAGAGAAGGAACCCTGAAGAGGGGTAATCTCCAGTGAGTCAGGGGGTAAAAAGCAAATTAGATATGATTTAGCAACATGAGACAGTGGTGAAGCACTTACTATTTTAAGCCACCACACTGAAGTCTCATGTCCCTGACTAAGTTGGCTCAAAAAAGGTTCCAAGAGTATTTCTGCCTGGTTTCATTAGTTTGTAGTTCCACAAAGAGATAGATTTTCAATTTATTATATTAATTTTGGGTAATCAAGGCACTCTTTTCCTCAGAGAACATATAACCCAGAGAAGTCTCATAGCGCTGATGCTAACAGTAGGGCTCTGTGTCTTGAGCAGTCTCTACTGTTCTTATTCCGGAATGTGGCCACCGAAGTGTCACGCTTCAGAGAGACAATCTCTTGAAAGTTGATCTAGCTGTACAGATGATCTCGATCTCATAAATCCCATAAAAGATTCCAAGCTATCTCTCAGTACGCTAGTTTTCCTGTAGAGGTCATTATGGTTAGCAACTCAGTATTTATTACATTCATGATGATGTCTAAGCGGTGGTTCTCAACAGAGGTGCTTTGGAAAACTACAGGAGCTTTTTTTTTTTTTTTTGGTCACAATAATTAGTGGGAGAGCTTCTGGAATTCAGTGTGCAGGGCCAGGGATCTAGGTATTTTGAATGTGCAGGACAGTCTCCTACAATGCAAAACTGTGCCACATCTTACACAATTTTCAAATGTCCCAATGAAAGTTCACCTGGGTGAAAACCTGTTTATAATTATCTGAGTTTAGAACTTTATTCCATTTTACATATTAGCAAAAAAGTATTTTTGTAGTTTTAATACAAAATAATAATATTTTTTCCAGTAATGCAACAACTGTGTAAATCAAAAGAAAACTCATTCTTTTTGTTGTTGTTCAGAAATATACCAAAAATTGTTTACCTTTTCAGGAAATCATATTATTAGACAGTGCTCTTCTGGTGCTCTGGAACCTATGACATCATTCAAACGATGCCACAAATAAGTACAAGTATCTAACTATTCTAATATTGTTGTGCCTAAGCATTTGTACCACCCACTACTCGTTTGTCAGTTTGTCATACTGTGGTAGCTTGCTTGCTGCTGTGATGCTGGAAGCTATGCCACCAGTATTTCAAAATACCAGCAGGGTGACCCATGGTGGACAGGTTTCAGCAGAGCTTCCATATTAAGACAGACTAGGAAGAAGGACCTGGCGATCTACTTCTAAAAAAATTGGTCAGTGCAAAACTTATGAGTAGCAGTGGAACACTGTCTGATACAGTGCCAGAAGATGAGCCCCTCAGGCTGGAAGGCACCAAAATATGACTAGGGAAGAGCTGCCTCCTCAAAGTAGAGTTGACCTTAAAGACATGAATGGAGTCAAGCTTTTGGGACCTTCATTTGCGGAAGCGGCACAACACAAATGAGAAGAAACAGCTGCAAACATACATTAATAATCAGAACGTGGAGTGTACGAAGTACGAATCTAGGAAAACTGGAAGTCGTCAAAAATGAAATGGAATGCATAAAGATGGATATTCTAGGCATTAGTAAGCTGAAATGGACTTGTATTGGCCATTTTGAATCAGACAATCATATGGTTTACTATATCCGGAATGACAAATTGAAGAGGAACGACATTGCATTCATTGTCAAAAAAAAATTTCAAGATCTATCCTGAAATACAACGCTGTCAGTGATAGGAAAATATCCATATGCCTACAAGGAAGACCAGTTAATATGGCTATTGTTCAAATTTATGCACCAATCACTAATGCGAAAGATGAAGAAACTGAAGATTCTTACCAACTTCTGTAGTCTGAAATCAATCAAACATGCAATCAAGATGCATTGATAATTACTGGTGATTGGAATGCGAAAGTTGGAAGCAAACAGAACAAAAAGAAGGATCAGTAGTTGGAAAATATGGCCTTGGTGATAGAAACGATGCTGGGGATCACTTGAAAGAATTTTGCAAGACCAATAATTTATTCATTGTAAATACCTTTTTTCAACAAGATAAACCACAACTATACATGTGGAGCTTGCCAGGTGCAATACACAGGAATCAAATAGGCTGTTGTTGTTAGGTGCTGTCGAGTAGGTTCCGACTCATAGTAACCCTATAGGACAGAGTAGAACTGCCCCATAGGGTTTCCAAGGAGCGGCTGGTGGAGTCGAACTGCCAACATTTTGGTTAGCAACCTGAATTCTTAACCACTGTACCACCAGGGCTCCTCAAATTGACTGTATCTGTGAAAAGAGACAATGGAGAAGCTCAATATCATCAGTGAGAACAAGGCCAGGGGCTGACTGTAGAAAGCATCATCACTGCTTATATGCGAGTTCAAGCTGAAGCAGAAGAAAATTAAAACAAGTCCACAAGAGCCAAAATATGACCTTGAGTGTATCTCACCTGAATTTAGAGACCACCTCAAGAACAGATTTGACAAGTTGAACACTAATGACCGAAGACTAGATGAGTTACAGGGTGACATCAAAGACATCATACATGAAGAAAGGAAAAGGTCATTAAAAAGACAGGAAAGAAGGAAAAGACCAAAACGGATGTCAGACGAGACTCTGAAACTTGCTCTTAAACGTAGAGTAGCTAAAGCAAAAGGAAGAAATGATGAAGTAAAAGAACTGAACAGAAGATTTCGAAGGGCAGCTCAAGAAGACAAAGTAAATGATTATAATGAAATGTGCAAAGACCTGGAGTTAGAAAACCAAAAGGGAAGAACACACTAGATATTTCTCAAGCTGAAAGAACTAAAGAAAAAACTAAGCCTTCAGTTGCATCATTCAAAATACTGAATGACTCAGGAAGCATCAAAAGCAGATGCAAGGAATATACAGAGTCACTGTACCAAAAAGAATTGGTTGACTTTCAACCATTTCAGGAGGTAGCATATGATCAGGAACCGATGGTACTGAAGGAAGAAGTCCAAGCTGCACTGAAGGCATTGGTGAAAAACAAGGCTCCAGGAATGGACAGAATAACAATTGAGATGTTTCAACAAACAGACGTAATGCTGGAAGCACTCACTCATCCATACAAAGAAATCTGGAACACACCTACCTGGCCAACTGACTGAAAGAGATCCATATCTGTACCTATTCCAAAGAAAGGTGATCCAACAAAATGCGGAAATTATCGAACACTATCATTAATGTCACACACAAGTAAAATTTTGCTGAACATCAGTCAAACGCGGTTGCAGCAGTACATTGACAGGGAACTGCCAGAAATTCAAGTCAGATTCAGAGAGGACGTGGAACAAGGGATATCATTGCTGATGTCAGATGGAACCTGGCTGTAAGCAGAGAATACCAGAAAGATGTTTACCTGTGTTTTATTGACTATGCAAAGGCATTCAACCGTGTGGATCATAACAAATTATGGATAACACTGAGAAGGATGGGAACTCTAGAACAGTTAATTGTGCTCATGAGGAACCTGTACACAGACCAAGAGGCAGTCATTCAAACAGAACAAGGGGCTACTGTGTGGTTTAAAATCAGGAAAGGTGCGTGTCAGTGTTGTATCCTTTAACCATACTCATTCAATCTGTATGCTGAGGAAATAATCCGAGAAGCTGGACTATATGAAGAAAAATGCGGTGATCAGGATTTGGGGAAGACTCATCAACAACCTTTGATATGCAGATGACACAACCTTGCTTGTTGAAAGCAAGGAGGACTTGAAGAACTTAACTGATGAAGATCAAACACTATGGCTTTCAGTATGGATTACACCTCAATATAAAGAAAACAAAAATCCTCACAACTAGACCAATGTGCAACATCACAGTAAACGGAGAAAATACTGAAGTTGTCAAGGATTTTATTTTACTTAGATCCACAATCAACACCCACAGAAGCAGCAGTTAAAAAATTAAACGATGATTACATTGGGCGAATCTGCTGTATAAGACCTCTTTAAAGTGTTAAAAAGCAAAGATGTCACCTTGATGTGCACCTGACCCAAGCCATATTTTCAATCGCCTCATATGCATGTGAAAGCTGGACAACTAGTAAGGAAGATCGCTGAAGAACAACTGATGTCTTTGAATTATGATGTTAGCAAAGAACACTGACTATACCATGGACTGCCAGAAGAACGAACAAATCTGTCCTAGAAGAAGTTCAGCCAGAATGCTCCTTAGAAGGGAGGATGGTGAGAATTCGTCTCATGTACCTTGGACATTTATCAAGAGGGACCAGTCCCTGGAGAAGGACGTCATACTTGGTAAAGTAGAGGATGAGTGAGAAAAAGAGGAAGATCCTCAACGAGATGGACTGACATAGTGGCTGCAACAATGGGCTCAAACATAACAACAATTGTGAGGATGGCACAGGTCCGGGCAGTGTTTCATTCTGTTGTACACAGGGTCACTATGAGTCGGAACTGACTTGACAGCACCTAACAACAATGGAGCCCTGGTGGCACCGTGGTTAAGAGCTACCACTGCTAACCAAAAGGTCGGCAGGTCGAATCCACCAGCCATTCCTTGGAAAGCCTATGGTACAATTCTACTCTGTCCTATAGGATCGCTATGAGTTGGAATCAGCTCGACGGCAACAGGTTTGGTTTTTTTTCAAACAACAACAATAAGAATCTGCATATTGAAATACCCATTATTTTATTATAAATCACTTTCCTTTTATTCCCTCTCATATATTAGCTAATATTTTATACTGATTTTTAAAGTATCATACGTACACATACACATTATATTTGAATCTCATTTCAGAATCACACAAGTGGACTACAAAATATTGTTTAGAAAAAGAGGCACTGAATCTGAGAGGGTTGGGAATCACTGGTCTGAACTAATTGTGGTGACCCATGTGTTCCCTAGTCATTGACTGGTGGGGCATGGGTATGTCATCCAGTTCTGCTCAATGGGACATAATGGAGCATCCTAGAGGACTTCTGGGAAAGGTTGTTTTGCTGTTGGGAAAGAGGAAGAAGTGGTCCTTCTTCTTCATCAGTTTGTGATGGCTAGAAGAGCCATAAACATATTGCTGCCAGCTTGAGGATGAAGAAATAAGCACACTAAGGAGGCAGCTCCAAGAGAATCACAGAGAAGTGAGACTGGAGCCCTGAGATTCTGCATCTGTAGTCTGCATTACCTCTGGACTTCTAGCTGTGTAATATAATACATTCCCTTATGAACAAGCAAGGGTGAGTCAGATTTTCTTTTATATTTGCAGCTGAAATCAACCTAACTCATACAGTTGCCTTGTAGAAATGACTGGAAAGGAAGATAAGGGGAAGCAATGTACTGTAATGGAGAAAACGTAAGGTTGAAAGTCAGATATACTGAAATTCAAATATTTACTTGATGATTTACTATCTGTATAACCCTGGATGAATTATTTAAACTCTTTGAGCCTCAGCTTCCTTGTTTATAAAATGGAAACATGAATACCTGCTTTACACGGCCATTGTGAGATTTAATGAACTAATACTTAACTCTTTTTTTTTTTTAATTAATTAATTTTTTAAAAATTGTGCTTTAGGTGAAAGTTTACAGCTCAAGTTAGTTTCTCATACAAACATTTATACACACATTGTTATCTGACCCTAGTTGCTATCCCTATAATGTGACAGCACACTCCTCCTTTCTACCTTGGAGTTCCTGTGTCCATTCAATCAGCTCCTATCCCTTTCTGCCTTCTCATCTCACCTCCAAATAGGAGCTGCCCATTTAGTCTTGTGTATCTATTTGAACTAAGAAGCACACTCTTCACGAATATCATTTTACACCTTATAGTCCAGTCTATTCTTTGTCTGAAAAGTTGGCTTCGGGAATGGTTTTAGTTATGGGTTAACAGAAGAGCCCAGGGGCCATGTCTTCTGGGGTTTCTCCAGTCTCAGTCAAACCATTAAGTCTGGTCTTTTTACTAGAATTTGAGTTCTGCACCCTACTTTTCTCCTGCACCATCAGGTACTCTCTGTTGTGTTCCCTGTCAGGGCAGTCACTGGTGGTAGCTGGGCACCATTTAGTTCTTCTAGTCTCAGGCTGAAGGAGTCTCTGGTTTATGTGGTCCTTTTGTCTCTTGGACTCATACTTTCCTTGTGTCTTTGGTGTTTTTCACTCTTCTTTGCTCCAGGTGCGTTGGGACCAATTGATGTATCTTAGATGGCTGCTTGCTAGCTTTTAAGACCCCAGACGCCACTCACCAAAGTGGGATGCAGAACATTTTCTTAATAAACTTTGTTAGGCCAATTGACCTAGATGTCCCCTGAAACCATGGTCCCCAGACCCCTGCCCCTGCTACGCTGTCCCTCAAAGTGTTTGGTTGTGTTCAGGAAACTTCTTAGCTTTGGTTTAGTCCTAGCACTTGTTAACTCTTAACCCAGTATTTGGCATGTTATAAGTATTCAACAACTGGTAGCTATTACTAACTACTCTTATTATGTGGAGAAAGGAAAAGAACTCACAGCAGTCTGAGCAGTGATGTGTGTGCAACCCACAATTTTGGCTCCAGCCAAAGGCTTTTCTCCTTGAGCTCTCTTCCTCAAAGCCATCAGTGCAGGCATTTCTGAAAAGGCCCAATACATACACAGCAATATTAGAGAGGAGGGAATCAGAGATAAAAGAATACAGAAAAACTTACTCTCTGTTAGATTAGGTTTCTCAAGGGATCAAGACATTACAACCTGATTTTCCTTTTATAAAAGGCTTGGGAGTCCCTGGGTGATGCAAATGGTTAACGTGCTCAGCTGCTAACTGAAAGGTTGGAGGTTTGAGTCCACCCAGAGGTGCCTCAGAAGAAACGCCTGGAGATCTACTTGTGAAAATCAGCCATTGAAAACCCAGTGGAGCACAGATCTACTCTGACACACATAAGGTCCCCATGAGTCATAGTCAACACCACGGCAACTGGTTTCAGAGGCAAACGCTCCAGGGCTCTGATTCCCTACATCCCAGCCCTTCTTATCCAGTCTCTCTCCCTTTTCCTTGTATAAGGGTTCCTTCTAGACCTGCCAGGGTTCACTCCCTCCGCACAGTGTTTCCAGAGCTCAGATTTCTTTTGTTGTTAAGTATTCTTCAATACCACACTGAGATTTCACTGGCTACCAGAACCCAGGATGTGAATAGGATTAATAGCACGGGCAAAAAGACACAGGCCGATAGAGAAGGAAAAGGTGCTTGGTTTCTTTACCTTGTTCAGCAATTTCAATTTCTCTTCGTCCAAATTCCGCCTGTTTGATGTTCTTGACACAGAAGTCACTGCTCCCCTTAGAGTTCTTTTGCTGCTTGTCCCTGGGGGATGTCTCATCATCCGAGCTATCTGTATATGAAGCCGCTGGAATGACAAAATAAAAAACCCTCAGGGAAAAAATGGCTTCCTGTAAGACGCCAAACCAGGAAATGAACTGAGGCTTCTCTAGTCATTCGCTGTTGTTGTTAAGCGTCACTGAGTTGATTCCGACACCAAGCAACCCCCTGTGACAGAGCAGAACTGCCCCATAGGGTTTTCTAGGCTATCATATTTATGAAAGCAGATTGCCGCATCTTTTATCTAGTCATCTAGTGCCATACACATTTACACATTTGGTAAGCACCTATGTGGCACCCTGGAGCTGTCTCAATCATCTACAGAAAGTGCTATCCACCGATCAGAAAGAAAGCTGAGAGACGTTACCAAAGCCATTCTCCCTGGACAACATTAACTTGAAATCTAGGGCTAACTCTACCTTCAGAACATGCAGAGGTCCTTGATTATGCAAAAGGAGAGAGGTTACACTGAGAGTGGAACTAGGCTGAAATTCCTAAGGCAGTGTCACGGTCATTAACTCATGGCTTTCTGGGATCCCAGCTTCCCTTTTCCATCTGTTGCTCAAGTGCCTGATATAATTTGTGTTTTAGCACAAGAATTGAACAGATAAGAACTAAAAAACAAGGAACCCATGGGAAAGTAATTAAGAACCACAAAAAAAGTGTCTGGCCTAACAGAGCTTTCTTTTTTGAGACTGGCTCTGATGGGGTTGAACCCCACCGCAGATCCAATTAGACAATGACAATGAGGTATTCAGTGTGCTCCCTTCTTGCTGACCTCAGTGTGTCCTGGCTTAGGCATTTTAGATTCCCAAAGAAGCAGATAAATTCTCTTCTGATATAATAAGATGTTCTGATAACTAATCCTTTTAGCAACACACCCAGAGGGTGAAAGGTCTGAGATTTTTGATTGTGGCTGACAGGTAGCTGCTGCTGCTATTCACATGCTCAGCTGAGGTCTTTTTGGTATTCATAAAATGCAGTAGTTGCTAATCATTTGCCGGACGATTTGATGAAATTTCCTTCCATGATTTACATTTAAGTTTCTCAGCATAGTTTCTTCCTAAGTAGCCCTCAAGGTTTTGGGGAGGTTGGGGGATAAAAGGCACTATCCATAAAGCATTACATATCTCTGGAGTGGGATAAGAAGCACTGCCATAATTTTTAAGGAGGGAAGCCTGCAAAAGCTTGGAGCTCCTAGGGTCTATGGTGCTCTCATCTACTTATGTCAGAGAATTAAGGCATTTCTGGGATTTCTTAGCATAGGGTCTATCTCTGGGAGGGCTGTAAAAGGCAAGTCTGACCTTGCCCAGTTAATCAGGCATGGCACTACAAAATCTCTGGGCAGCAGGGGCTTGAGTATCTCTTGGAGCTGGAAAACTGCCCTGGAGCAAAGTCCTAACACGAGGAAACAGGAATGAACATGGGCACCAGGGGAGGTGAGGGAATTAGTAAATCCCCAAAGAGACTTTTGTTCTTGAAAAGACGTTAATCTGTACAAAAAGTCTGCAGATCCCCCTCCTAGGGTGAGTGAGAGATCAAAGTGCCGTTGGCAGCAGAGCCCAGAAATAGCTTCCTGGGTAGTCATCTGTCTCACTAATCAATACTCAGAAATCACTTATGTGTTGGAGGCTCAGGGGAACTATGCCTCTCCTACCCCAGAGGAGAGAGATAACAGCCACCTGTAAATCCTGATCCACATTTACGGGGTCATTGCTTTTGAAGAAAATGTTTACATTTAGAATATCATGGAATTTCAAATCCTTGTCCAGAGCCCTGATGGTTTTTATGTCCCTCAGTGGCCATTTAAACATAGTGGTTATGTGTTCTGGGAGTCAGACAGACTTTGGTTGAAGTCTCACTCTGCGATTTTGGGTATACAAAGTAGAGGTGATACCAGAATGTACTTAATAGGGTTGTTAATTCATTCAGTCATTCACTCATTGGGTTGTTCACTGTGCATACACTATGTATCAGGCACAGTCTAGGTGCTGGCGATACAGGACAGAGATGGATCATCCTTACCTTCCTGGAGCTTTCAGTCTAGTGGGTGAGTCAGACATGAAATAATTAATTACACAATTATTTAAAGTTTTTCAATACAATTGTAATGTGTGCTATAAAGGAGAAATCAGGATGTCATAAGATTGTATAATAGGAAGACATAACTTGTCAGAGTCAAATTGTTGAGAAGATTAAATAAGATAACATAAGTAAACTGCTTGGCATACTGTAATGATACCTGATATTATTATCATCTTTTGCACATATTTGTAATTCAATGTCAGATATAATTTATCTTTAAGGGTTCTTACTCAGCTTTAGGATTTTGAATGGGAAAGGAATGACATACAGACAATATTATAGCAATAGCAATCTATTTCTTTTCTTTCCAGCTCCATCATCTTCTATTAAGCTACCAAAGCAGCAGGTGGTTGGCTGGCATTGATTACAAAGGTTGAGACTTAGTCCTAACTTTACCCAGAATACCTCTCTCCTCCTATGCCTCTTCATATTCTGGGGATGAGTCAGAAAAACAAAAACTTCTCCTTAAGAGAAGCACTCCAATTTTTGTCTTGAGTAGTTTTCCTTCTAACTCAAAGAAAAAAGTTATTTGTTCAGTGGTGAAGCCCCTCCTGAAGTTCACAATTCAGCTGAGGATTGGACAGCCTCATAAAACAAAACAGGACTAATGAGGCATAGCAGTCCGGGCACAAGGACTAGAAGGCAGGAGGGGACAGAAAAGCTAGTGATAGGGAACACAAGGTTGAGAAGGGACAGTGTTGTCATCGGGTTGTTAACCATTGTCATGGGGCAATATGTGTACTAACTGTTTAATGAGAAACTATTTGTTCTGCAAACTTTCATCTAAGGTACAAAAATAAAAAAAGAATTATCTATGTGAGATCAAACTGACAACAGCAACTCAAAAGATTTGATGGGAAGCCTAGGGGACAGTGAGTTGAAGACAATGGTGATGGAATAATTTGGAAAAGGATAGTGAGAATAGCAGCACAACTGAAAGAATGTAATCCATGTCACTGAATTGTACATGTAGAAACTTTCAAAATGGTGTATATTTGGCTACGTATATTTTCACCAAAAAAAAAGGTCCTCAGAGTCGAGACGGGAGAGGGTTGACATGTCGTGGGATTGTTAACCAATGTCATAAAACAATATGGGTACTGACTGTTTAATGAGAAACTATTTGTTTTATAAACCTTCATCTAAAGTACAATAAAAAAAATTTAAAAAAAAAAGTTATTTGTACTACTTCCTTATTCTAGAAGCTGTAGAGAAAATGGTATTATACTTTCTTAACAGTATCAACTGGTTATAGTTAGTTCAACAAATGTTTTTCTTTGAGCCAAAATGGATTTGTTTTCAAAGAGCCCTGTACATAGACCTCTTATCCAGTGGGAACCAAAAATGTCAGTTGTCTAGATTGTACTACCATGTGAATTCAACATGGCTGACAGATTCAGACCAAAAGAATGTGTTATTTCTACAAACACAATGCAAAGATTATTTCTGAATTAGTTTAACATTTATTCACCTTTTAAAATTCTTTGCATCCATATTAATTTTCGCCACTGTATTAAAAGTAGCACATTCATGAAAACAGCATTACAGATTTTTCCTAGGAAAATTTAGAGAAACCCAACCCATAAGTATACGCATGCTTGAAGAGAGTCTCTAAAGTGTTTGTAACTGTCAGCATACTCTGAGGCCCAGAGTCATAGTTTAATTATAAAATGAACAAGCGATAACCAAGGCAATAACCTACTGAAGCACATACCTGAGATCCTAGATCTAGCTTTACCTCTAATTGGCTAAGTAACCAATTTTCAATTTATCTAACTATAAAATAGGGACTGCAACAGACCCCTTCTCTCTCCATGTTCTTCCTTTCCCCTAACTACCATCAGAGAAACGTTATGAATAAATAATACCAAAAGGGTTCAATTTCTAGGTAGAAAAATAATGTAAAGTACAGTGTAACTTTACTACAGGATGTTCTCTTGTTTCATGATTTCCCAGAGTCAAAACATAACTTGTAGGAGGGACTACTGATGCATACATATATTCTACAGCTCAAGCTTATTCCTAAGCCTTACTTCCTAGCAGCATGATATTGTGGGCTATTGCTAGGAAAAGCACCACTAAGAATCCTAGTTGAATTAGTTCTATTAGACTATTTTAAGTCAGGCATTTCCTCTTGGGCCCAATCTAGCATTTGGTAATGGAAATAGCACTGGGCACCTGTGTATCAGTATGCTGCAGATATCATTAATAAATAACACTTTAGAAATATGTGAAAAGCTATGTCAGCAACCAAAATACAAACACACAAAACTTTGTTGTTTGGAAAAACTTGAAATTACTTCAAACTTTGTAGGAACCAATCATGAATGAAGGGACTTCAATCTTCCCTCCTCAATAATTAACTCACCACAAACACAGCTTTTTCAGAACAAATCACTGAGAATTATCTGACTTTGAAGAAAAGTTTCTTTTCTTCTCTTTATTGTTTTTATGTTTTTTTTTCTCCTGGCTTCGGGAAAGAGTTTTCAGAAGTTCATTTCTCATAAAATAATTGCAGGCATTAATGTAGTCTTTGCCAACCTGGGTTCCACTAGAATTAAGTCTTAATGCCGGAAGCATCCACTGTATACCAAAATCAACCCTGTTGCCTTTGAGTAGATCTCCACTCATAGTGACCCTATAGGACAAGGTAGAACAGCTCCATAGGGCTTCCAAGGCTGTAATCTTCACAGAAGCAGACTGCCACATCTTTCTCCCGGGAGTGTCGAGTAGTTTCAAACTGCTGACCCTTCAGCTAGCAGCTGAGCGCTTTAACCACTGCACCACCAGAGGTCCTTATCAGCTGTACATAATGAATTAATTTCTCTCCTATGCATCCAGCAGGGTACTATCCTTTGGAGAATTGAGAAAACAGCCCTTCAAATTATTTTGTGTTCTGTGTTTCAGAAAAGGAACCCCTGTTGATAAAGGCAGGTTATTGTT